CTATAGAGGGTTGAATAAAATCACGATCAAAAATGCGTATCCTATTCCCCTTATTACGGAGCTTTTTGACAGGTTAAAAGGGTCCTCTGTCTTTACCAAGCTGGACCTGAAGGGTGCAAACAGCTTGGTACGCATAAAAGAGGGGCATGAATGGAAAACCGCCTTTAACACCAGAAGTAGGAACTATGTATATGCAGGCATGCCTTTTGGCCTATGTAATGCTCTGCCAGTTTTCCAAGATTTTATCAAGGACATCCTCAGAGACTTCATACATTCGTTTGAGATAGTGTACTTGGACGATATTCTGATATGTTCCCCTGATGAAAGTATATATCACATCAGGTCTGACAAACACGGGCTCTGGATTCAGTATGGATCCCAAGAAGTTATCAGCCATTGTTGAGTGGCCTTTGCCTCAGTGATTAAAACCTATCCAAGGGTTCATAGGGTTCGCCAATTATTATAGGAGGTTTATAAAGAATTTCTTTCCATTATTGCCCCTATCATAATTCTCACTAAGAAGGCTGCAAACCCCTACATTTGGATCGCAGTGATGACGTGGACCTATCAGAACATAGGTAAGCCTATTTAAAGGCTTGTTTTAGCCCCCTCGTTTAGTGCTCCTAGTGATTCTCTTGTGATTACCTGTGTTTGACCTCGGCATCGTATTCGACTCGTGATTTCGGGTATCCTGACCTCGGCTTCGTATTTGACCTGTGATTTCTGGTATCCTGACCTCGGCTTTGTCTTGACTCTGACTATTCCTAAATTTACAGATGTTCAGCTGTTTGCAACAAGCAAATCAAACAAAAGCAACTGAAATTGCTCAACACAATGAATTCTTCAATTGGTTTCCCAAAATTCAACTTAAAATGCAACTTATGACTTCTCCAGTCTTAAAATTATCCAACTCCCGGAATAGAATTCCTCACCACAGCACAAATATGCAAAACAGGTGTTATCTCAAACACACCTGATGCAACTAAAAGGGCTTGATTAGTTGCACTAGATGTGCTTGAGCTGGAAAACTTGAAATACCTGAACTGGCTAGAGGTTTGTCGAGTGTCACGTTTGACTGAATATTAGAAATATGGCTAAGTCAAAAGAATGGTCCACAAAGTTAAGAGAAGAGATCATGACTCTTCACAAACCAGGAACAGGATACAAAAAGATACCAAAGACACCGTTGGAAGCATAGTTTGCAAGTTCAAAGTTGAAGGAACAGTGGTCACACTACCTGAGCAGGGTAGAAAAAGGAAACTATCAATAACTGCAACCAAATTTTTATGAAGGCAGGTTGTGAAAAACCCTCGAGTGACTGCAAAAGGCCTGCAGCAAGACTTGGTGGCAATAGGCACTGATGTTTCAGTAAGTACAGTAAGGTGTATAATAAAAGCAGAAGCTTTCCACTCCAAGCTAAGACTTACTCTACTACTCACCAAAAAGCACAAGAAAAGTTGGCTCCAATATGCACAAAATCATATGATAAGCAACAGAAGTTTTGGGATTCTGTTCTGTGAAGCGATTAAACAAAAACTTTTTGGCCCCATGGATCAGCAGTATGTCTGGAAAAAGAAGAATGAAGCATATGAACACTCTACCTACAGTAATGCATGGTGATGGCTCAGTGATGCTCTGGGGCTGCTTTGCATCCCCTGGCACGGAAAACCAGGTTTCATTAAGGTATCAGGAAATCCTAGTAGTAATCCTGTGAGAAAGCTGAAGCTTGGGTGTCATTGGACCCTGCAACAAAACCATGATCGAAGGCATACCTCAAACTCCACCAAGGCTTGGTTACAGAAGATGTCATTGAAAATTCTATAGTCGCCATCACAATTCTGCCTTGAACCCCATAGAAAATTTCTGATATGAAGAAGGTGTTTGCAGCACGCAAACCCAAGAATATGACTGAACTGGAGGCCATTACTTATAAGCGACGGTCTAAGATTCCTCAGGAATGCTGCCAGAAGCTGGGGTCTGGCTATGCGTCTCGTTTGCAGGAGATAATAACAGTAAAAGGGTGCTCTACTAAGTACTAAAGATGCTTGCCATTAAGGCGTTGGAAGTCTGTAAATTGTGACAATAAAATTGATTTTCAATTGAGTCATTTTGATTATGACTGTACAAACTTGTGTTTTCCTACAAGAAGAATACAATTTTAGAAAACGAATGAGAGCTGTATGGAGTGAACTTACCCTTTATCAATTGCAGTTGTGCTTTCAGCCAATCAAAATTCAACTAGACTCAAATTCCGGTCCAATGACAGCCCCCTATCTACAATAATATGTAGCTTTTATGAGGAAGTGAAATGGCAAACAAATATATATCACATTTACCCGTGTTCCATCTTTTCTAAATATACTCTATTTTTTCCACCATGAACTAGCATGCGAACTGGCGACAATAAAGGATTCCCTCAAAATAATTAAAATTAAGATAAATAAAATTAAAATAAAACATGAACGCAACGTTGATACAAAGCTGATGCAAAAAGAGACAATAAACCAACATATATAATATAAGAAGCAGTGATTGAAGCCACAGATAAATTAGCGACAGAATAGTTTTTTTGTTCTTGTAACCTTCTGTAGCGCCTGCCAGCAGTATGGGCTATGGGTTTGGAGCAAGGTAGCTGTGCGTGCTGATGCCATACACAAAGAAATGTACAGATCTAAGCCTGCAATGTAGGAGGTAAAAATTGCAGCAATCTTCCAAGTCAGGATGGAAATACACAGAAAAAAAAAAGCCATTATTTAAAAATATAAAGATCTTCAACATGAAAGGCTGCAAGGTAGGTCCTTGCACCATAACCAATTCAATAACAATAATAACCATTTATGGCTGGAAAAGCATTCTAGAGTTTTTGTTATTCGGATGGGGTTCAACCATTGGTCACTAAATGAAAATCATACAAATGTATCGACGTAACAGTAAGACTTTAAATGTGACTGTAAAATGGGAAAACAACTGGGATATGACACAACCTATGCACATGTAAAATACAAAGACAAAAGAGACGGAACACACGAGCAAAGCAGTTCTTATCCGTCATCATTTTTTAGTTTTCATTTAATGAAATACACATGGGTTTCATTACTGTAACACCCTGTCTACTGATTTACCAGCGTTAATGAACCTTGAGCACCACCTACTGATCAGAAATGTGTAATGCAATAGATCCTCAATTTGGTGATTCCCATGCAGTGGTAATGTACACTGAACATTCTCCTATTCCAAACTACATAACAGTAAACCTTCTTTGAGTTATTTGCAGTTAATAATTACTTTGCATACATTATAAGTAATATGAAGGTGTATGACCTTGGAAATAGAGATATGCTGTAACTACCGTATTTTTCCCATTTGTAAGACTATTTTTTTGTCTAAAATTAGGGTCGTCTTATACACAAAATGTCACTGTAGGGGTTTAAAAAAACAAAACATTTGTGCGCAGGGCCTAAGCCAAGATGGCGCCTGCTGCGTTTCAGTGTGCCACGGCTTACACACATACCTGGTCTCCCTCCTGCTGATCCACTTCTGAATGCTGTGGCAAGAAGTCTCTACATGCGTCAACCAGACATCAGCACTTACCACCAACGGAGCTCCAGAGACATGCCACACCATAAAAGGAGCAGCTATATTAAGGTTTACTCCACCTCAGATAGGTCTTGCTTTCTGATTTATATTTATGGGGGAGAAAATATGGATCAGGAAACAGAGGGAAAACTGATGTGATGTCCCAGCATGTCCTCACACCACCTACTGTATTGTAGGACCTGTAGTCTCCCAACATGCACTATAGAGCCATTAACTTCACAGAGTACCGTAGCACAGGGGAGGCATGAGAATCAGAAGTCACCTCTAAAATATCAAAGTTGTTCTATCTGATGTTTAAAATATTTATTTCTTAATTTTGGGCTCAAAAAAGTAGGGGTCGTCTTATATACAGAAAAATACAGTAAGTATCTTAATATTAGTATTGTTGTGATAAAGTATTCCATTTAATTATTTGACAATAACAGAAGCACAGTACTAGTTGGGAGAATTAAGCATCCAATGGTCAGTGTTACATCCATTCTGGTATGTTACAGGGGCAGTGAGATTCTACTATACAGAGATTGGATTGTCTGTGTTGTCTCTACCAGTTCCCCCATTCAATGATAATGATAGATTCCTATTCAACACACACTCATGTCTTGGGAACAAAAGACATTTATTATTATGTCATTATTGACTTACATGAAACAAAATTTTCTGAGGGATCCTTTGACACTATTCTAAAAGTAGAAGTGGTCATGAAGGTTGGAGTAACCCTTAAAAAAACTTTAAAAAAAAAAAGAGGAAAAACACACAGAATTCTCAAAAAATTTATTTTAAATATTTTGTGTACTATTTTTTTTTGTGGACAAGTTTCTCTTGGCTGTAAGAAATGGGTTAATGACCATCAGAATGAAGTGCTGAAGTACACGTTTCTCTGAGACATTCTGAAATTACATCTCTGCATCAAAACTATAATCTGCATTTCATTTCAGTTTACAATAATCCATTTAGTAGAGATTCCCCTACACAGACATGCCAGTACATCCACAAGCCCCCCTTAGTGCTTGGAACTCACCATACCTTGCTGGGCAGCCATGCCTCCATGCAGCCCTTCAACTTACTTCAAGCCGATATTAAGAGAAGGGAGGCAAACATAATTTAGGATTATAGCCGGCACTCCAGTTTGCCATTGTAACTGAAATTCTGATAATAATAATTATAAATCCCTCAGTGCACATGTCTACTAAATGGTGCTTTCATAGCCTGGTGCACACACAGCACTGGGCTATGAAAGCAATAACAGACATAATATCTTAGAATGAAGGGGAGGGGGGGGGGAGGTTGGCTACGGAGGCAGGCAATTTTACAATGCAAAATGCTACAATACATTTAAATGCTTTAGCAGGATTTTTCAGCCAGGCAAGAAAAAAAGTTTAGCAAACTTAACGTTTATCATTATCTCAAATGAAAGACTTCACAAGGGCCATCATGTGATCAACACCACAAGCAACTTCCACAACCTCGCCGGGAACAGTCACCCTCCAGGGAAAATACTGGTCTTCAAGTCTTCCAGTACCTAAGCCACCTCTTATATTTTTCCCCCAGACAAATAGCTCTCCTCGACTGTTTACAGCAGCAAAGTGACTTAGTCCTGAGTAGATCTGGGTCACACGGACATTTGGGTTAAATTCGGACATGCCAAACAGTGTTGGGGGGATCATCTCTGGTATCTTTGACTCCATTACATTCGGTCCTTTCCCAAGGATGCCGTAACCCCAGACAAAGACGTTTCCATCTGTATTTAAAACAGCACAACTGGTCCCTCCACACGCAACCTGCTTCACTTTCCCAACATGATGGAATGACAAGTGCCGGGGAACATTGACCTGAGTAGTGTCAGTGATTGATGCAAACTGGAGGTACTCAGAGTTCCCCCAACCAAAGAGCTCTCCTTCTTTTGAAACGGCCAGGCAGCAATCTCCATAAGTAGCCACCTGAACAATGTTCATGCCAGACAAATCCCCACACAGCTTTGTGGGAACACTGCAGATGTTGTAATGTCCGAGGCCCGTTTGTCCATCTGCTCCCCAGCCGCAGGAATATACCTCTCCTTTTTCCATCCTGAAAAGACTGTGATCTTGTCCACATGCAATTTGAGAAACTTTACTGTCCAACGGCATGACCCGGTGTATGAGCTGGCTTTCACTGTATATTTCTCCTTCCACAATTTTCCTTGCACATTGTCCATACGAATTGTTTCCCATGCTCAGAACACCTTCGTCTGTTAGAATTAATGAGTGCGCTCTCCCGCATGACACTTGAAGCACCTGTGTATTCTGAGGTTTGTCCAGTGGCAAAGGGACCGGTGAAGGCTCCAGGACATACTCGTAACCCTTGGTTCTATCTCGTCTGCTCCTGTGAAACCCGATCTGTGAATCCTTGTTCAATCCCATTCCCCAAACTTTTGTAACATCCCTTGTGGTGGATGACATCAGCGTAAAGCCATAACCACAGGCAGCCGAGGAGATCTTTTCTTCCATATCCAACCTATAAGGAGTTAGCTGGAATCTCTTAGGCTTCTTTCGTCCGGAATCAGGGACCACAAAACTTGGGATTCCCAGAGCGCCAGTGCTGGAAAAGCCCCATACAAACACACGATCCTTTCTTTTGGCCCTGTTGCCCACATACTGAAAAATGGGGAGTTCATCTTCTTCTTTGTTCTTTCCCACTTTAGCAGTCAGATTACGCAAAACCATAAACTGTGGTTTTAGCACAGTCCGCCTACGGCTGACACGATACAGAAGGCTTAACATGCTTCCAGATAACCATTCATTCACCAATCCACGTGCTGGGGATCTGGGTGCTCAGTAAAGGCAGTCAGCTCTGTAATCCACACACTGCTTCACTGATGGACACGATGGTGGACAGTCACTGGTTCATTGATGGACACTATGGTGGACAGTCACTGGTTCATTGATGGACACTATGGTGGACAGTCACTGGTTCATTGATGGACACTATGATGGGCAGTCACTGGTTCATTGATGGACACTATGGTGGACAGTCACTGGTTCATTGATGGACACTATGGTGGACAGTCACTGGTTCATTGATGGACACTATGATGGGCAGTCACTGGTTCATTGATGGACACTATGATGGGCAGTCACTGGTTCATTGATGGACATCATGGTGGGCAGTCACTGGTTCATTGATGGACACTATGGTGGGCAGTCACTGGTTCATTGATGGACATCATGGTGGGCAGTCACTGGTTCATTGATGGACACCATGCTCTCCTTCTGTAAAGCTCAGCAGTCAGAAGTGACAGGCATGCTGCATGTCGCCGGTATGGGCGCCGCCATGTCCACGACCTCAAGCACTGCAGCTAAGCCAAACTACCCAGAAGTCTCTGTTCTAACATCCCGACTCCTCCCACCCCTGGCATTCACGCTAAGCCGAGTCACCACAACGATGCTGACGGCGCCATCTTTGATTGGGGCAACCGGCACAACTCTAATGTCACAACGCCGCTTCCATCTAAATACACCTATTGTCAATCCTTATAGCTCTCCGTACACGGCAAGGATGGAAAAGCACATAATGCAAACACGTTACGGGAGCGCTGTGGGCACAGGCAGACCCACTGCCCGTGAGCAAGATGGCGGGCTAGGCACAGGGAACTTCCGGCGCTTAGACGGAAGCGGAAGTATTGAGTGGGAGGAGCGGAATGTATGGTGGGAAAGAGCCGGTTAAGGGTGAGTGTGGATCAAGGAATACTAACAGAGTCATTATTGCTGCCTGGCTGGGGGTTATGGCTGGGAAGGCGTGTCTGTGGTCCATATCAGAGTATTACAGCACAGCCCTCCCAGGGTGCACCTTGCTCAGCATGGCACTGACAGACTGGCTGCTCTGTATTGACATACTCTCAGTATACCGGATACTGCTACCAGCACAGAGGGAAGAGAACAATACCTATTTGGGGGAGAGCAATACTGGGGAGAACAGAGAGAGAGAACAATGGCACAGAGAGAACAACAATACACTGAGAGAGAGAACAATGCACAGGGAAGAGAACAATGCTGGGGGAGAGAACAATGCTGGGGGGGGAGAGAGAACAATATGCTGGGGAGGGGAGAGGTAATACTGGGAGAGAACACTGGGGAGAGAGAGAACAATGCTGGGAGAGAGAGAGCAATGCCTGGGGAGAGAGGCTAATGCTGGGGGGAGAGAACAATACTACTGGGGTGGGGAGAAAATACAGAGGGAGGAGGGAGAAGAAACAATGCCTGCTGGGGAGAGAAGAGCACAATGTCTGCTGGGGGGGAGAGAACAAGAGAGAGAGCAATATCTACTGGGGTGGGAGAGAGAACAATGGCTGGGGGGGGGAGAACAATACACAGAGAGAAGAGAACAATGTCTGCACTGGGGAGAGAGAGAGAACAATATGCAGAGAGAGCAATACTAGAGAACAATATCTGCTAGAGAGAGCAATACTAGGGTGGGGAGAGAACAATGCACTGGGGAGGGAGGGGAGAACAATACCTGGGGGAGGAGAGGAGAGAACAATACAGGAGGAGAGGAGAGAGAACAATACAGAGAGAACAATACCTGCTTAGGGGAGAACAATGCCTGCGCACTGGGGGTGGAGGCACATGCCTGCTGGGGGTGGAAGAACAATACAGAGGAGAAAGAAACAATACACACAGAGAGAAGAGAACAATACCTAGAGAGAACAATACAGAGAGAGAACAATACTAGAGAAATGCCACTGAGAGAGGGAGAACAATGCAGAGAACAATGCCTGGGGAGAGAACAATGCCACTAGAGAGAGAGAACAATGCCTGCTGGGGGGGTCAATGCCTGCTGAAGGGGACCAATGCCTGGGCTCCCCCTGCAACATCACATATGGGAAAGCAGTGAAACATGTAACCTGCAGGGCTGTGTGGGTGATTACATGGTTTTTGTTTCGATTTTCTGTAGATATTTTTGTGACTATGGTTGGGCTGTCACCTATGTGTGTGGCTGGTTGGGTTGCAATATGGACTATGTTTCCACATGACTTGTCTATGGTGTAGGGCTGTACATGCTGTACTGCATGAGTGCTGTCAGAAAAGGGATGTCTATATGAGTAAAGGAACACAATAGGCAGAAAGTGACACCCCATTATTCAATAAGTCATATAGGTAACCCATTAAAAAAAAAAGTGAATAAAGTAAAACCATAAAAGATTAAAGGAAAACTATAGCATTAAGAATGCAAACGTGTTCATAACATATTTAAATTAAGGACCGCCCCCTTTCTCCTTTTTACCTGTAAAACAAAGGATCAAAGGACGTCATCCCGGAGGCATTGCTTCCAAAATAATGGTGCAATTCAATGCTAATCTGAGGAACATTGGGGACTAGATGTGTGTGTGCCTCCAAATAAATGCTTCTCATTGGGAAGCATTAGATCCAGTGCTTCCCTATGAGCTGCATCTGATGACGTTCAACTTACTCATGGACATAGGATGACACATGACCAGTGAAATATGGTCGTTGCAGTGCAAGTTCCTCTGGTGGCTGTCCGAAAGACAGCCAATAAAAGCGTGTTTAACTCATCAATCAAAGCGTTGCCATATCTATTGAATTGCAATGTTTTAGATTAAAGGGCTAAACTTTAAAAGCCATGCCTTTGAAATAAAGTAATCTAGGCACAAAATAGCCTAAAACAATACCATATGCACATGCACATGCAAAAGCTAAGGGGCTCCTCCAGGACCAGGAAGAGGCTGTATCAATCATTTCATTATCTTGTAAACCTATACCTAGCGGGCCTTTCTGGGATGTGTAGTTTATCCCCAGCTTCTGTTCCTACATGGGATGAGTGGAAATGTCCAATAAGCTCATGTAAGCTATTGGCTATCTTCTATCATGGGTTTTTGAATTGAGCTGTGTGTAGTAATATGCAAAGCAACAGTTCTGGATTTCTCCAAGGTGTGTGAGAGATGTGCAGGATCATTCAAAATGGCAAAAGACCTAGCAAAAAAAACCCTTCTTTGTATAATCTGTGAGCCAGGTTAACAGGTTTAGAATATATGCTTTTCTTAATAAAGTGTACATGTTGTGATACACACAAGATGTTATGACAGATTCACTTCCCTTACCTCTGGGTTGACATCCTTGCTGAATCAAGCTAGTCCCACAGACACACAATAATACACTTCCCTATGTGGATTATGAGGTAGCACAGGATGTCACCATTAGGGAAATATTCCTAAATACAATCTGTTTATGCTGTGAATGGATGTGCATTATGATATCAGTGTTAAAATAACATTTCTAAAGGGCAATTTGCCTTTTAATTCATGGATTATTTCACTAAGGGGAACCCTATAAATGTTATCTCAGCTCAGTATCTTTTCCATAAAGTTTTGTGTTGAAGAAATACGATTTGCATCAATAAGCATGTCTGCATATTTGCTAGAGTCCTGTGATTGTATAAACCACTAGACTATATTGTCAGTGAAGCATATAGTGTTATATTTCCAGGTTGTCAGTATATAGATGCTAACTCAAGATCATTTTCCATCAACATACCATATCCCATCATAATTATAGAGTATAATTAAAGTGTTTTACCTACTCAGCATTAATTTGCACTAAATAATATTTATTCTTTCACTTTCTGTTTGTGGATTTGTATATACATACACATGTTGAGACATCATGTTTGTAACTCTATATTCAATTATAAAGTGTTGCTGCTCTAAGACAATGTGTTTGCTAAGTATTATTTGAATATATAAAATATACCATTACAACCTTAATAAACAAAGGGCATTATAACAATACAAAGTCATCAAAAGTCATCAGCTAAACTAGTATATTATAAGTGCATGCAATAAAAAAAAACTATAGAAATATAACCTCAGCCGTGGTGATTTATGAGCCGTTATGTAGAATGTGGAACGTTTGAATAAGATGAACAATTGTAAGTATTACAGAGGATCCACACTGGTGAAGACAATGTACAATTATGTGTTATTACCACAAACCTACAGACTTTTAGGCCAATCTTACTATGCTTGACTTATCAGGAATAATAAGATGCAAGTTGGCTTCTCTTCCCAGCATACTATTGGAATACACTCATTAAAGTAACCAACCTTGCTGACACAGATAACACTAAAGTCTGTTTCCTGCTACTCTCCTTCCTGTCTTTTTTGCTATTTGCACAGTTATGTAAACTACTTATACAAACTCCTGTCTCTGTTGACGCCTGTGCAGTCATTCTGTTGCACCTGCTTGCCTTTAGTATTACATTGTCTTCTACCCCAAGGTTTGATTTCCCATCTCAATCTTTTCATCTTCTTCCATGAAACTAAGTATTCTTTGTTGTTCTTTGTTATTAACGACGCAATGATCTACCTTTCCTCTGCCGATCTATCACGCTTTTCAATAACGTTTAAGGTTAATAACTGGAATCCAAAGGGCCCTGTGTCTTCCGGACAGCCACTAGAGGCGCATCTGCGACGCTGGAGGCGAATTTCGCCTCCATTGCACAGAGCTTCCATAGAAAAGCATTGAGAAATGCTCTCCTATGGACACTTTGAATGCGCGTGCGCCACTTGCCGCTTATGCGCATTCGGCTCCAGTGCCGTCGGGATGGGGGAGCTGACGTCGGACGGGGAGGAGAGGTCACCAACGCTGAGAGAGCCTGGTTCTGGATTAAGGTTTTAACCCCTTCAGTGCCACTGGAGGGGGACCCTGAGGGGGCAGTGCCAGTAAAATGGATGTGTTTTCCTTGCACTGGATAGTCCCTTTAAGAACCCTTAATACTGCAAACGTTCATTATGTGGTGGCTGTGACCTAAAAAAGTATGAATAAAACAACAAACAAACAAAAAACGATTATACACTAGACCAGGGGTAGCCAACCTTCAGCATGTTTTGGACTACATTGAGCATAAAGCTCTTACAACCATAATGCTAGCAAAGCATCATGGGAGGTGTAGTCCACAACATGTGGTGTGCCAAAGGTTGCCTACCCCTGCGATAGACTGTATGCTGTAAATATCTATACGGGGGGTGCTTGAACATGCCACTGTCCACTCCATCCCCAATTACTGGCATGGCCCACCCCCCCTGTGGAAGGTAGTCCAGACCACCCCCATTAAACAAATCCTACTTACCCCCATCTTAATGTTAGTGATGATAATAAACTAATACCTTAGAAAGTATAATTATTATTATTATTTTTTTTATCAGAAAATCTCTTTCTTGTAAATATTCTTATCTTCAGCCACACAAAAAGGGCAAATTAAAATCCATAATATGTAATGCAAAATAATAGCAAAAAGAAAACCCAATTTGCAAAAAAAATTAAAATCCTGTTGGAAAAATTAAAATTAAAAAAGTCAATTTTTTTCCGTGCTACCGCTCCACGCAGAATGATGCTTCAGGGTGGACGAAGCCATTATAAATCATTTCCATGCTTTTAATTCTCAGAGCACTCTGATTGGTTGCTTGTAAACCAGTCAATCAGAGCACTCTGACAGGCAGGTCCTATTTCTCTCTTGACACTCCATGGGAATAGTGAGGTTGGTGGGGACATAGGAGGGTTTACAACCTCCCTTATGGTATTATCGGGGTCTTATTTGCCAGCGAGCAAATAGTACTTCAGATTGTCATTCACATAATTTGGAAACAATTTGGTTTCCGCATTGTGTTAAAACCAGTGCTTTGTGATTTTTCTGAATCCTATCCTTTGAAATTCCAAAACAGTCTATATGAGCACTTCATCTTTATGAAATGCTCTAATGCTGTTTTGTGACAGAGCCCATTTAAAATATCCTTTTAGTCTCTTCCCCCCCTCTTGTTAGGTAGCAGTCTCTGTACTGACATCATGTCCGTGCAATGTTTATTGAGCAGATCTGAGCGTCGGGCACAGTTATGAAGAACTTAATGGAAACATTTATAAAGGGTCTATATAACTAAAAACTGAGAATGGAAGACGTGGACAGTGCAGCATTCTATCAAAATACACGTGCTGCGTGGCAGTGTAGTGATAAGGGACTAGTTCGCACATATACACTACACACAGATACACGCAAGCATTCATAGACCATCCATGCAACCAGTACATTCTCACATACATATACACAATGACACTCCACACATACTTACTGTTGGATTAAAGAAACCCTAGCCGTACAGTAGCCCTAACCCTAATTTAATACAAATAAAATGCTCAATATGAAAGATGCATAACGCTATGTATATTGGTGGTAAGTAATGCCTTCTTGGGATTCAGGAGACATAAAGCACTTTATCTTTAGCCTTATTGTTTATTATCCATAAACCCTGGATAACATTTTAACAGTTGTATTATCAACCATATAGTTTTTATAGAGTCTGTAACTTTAATGATAGTTTATAATAGGATCACTCTGTCTGCAAATCTTCACTATTTCACATTTTTTTAGTTTTTTTTTTAAAGGAAATGTACTAGATGCACATATTACATATATTTTATTCCATAAATAAAATAGATAATCTTTACAATTTAAATAAAAGTATGTGTTTTGTTAATCTGTCAGGGTTTGTTTTTTATTTATCATACAAGCACAGTGAGCCAAACAATACATAATGATGCCACATGGTAATATCATTCTTTATTTCCTACAGAAATGGCACATACGACGTTGACAGTTACAGTTCTCTGTTGCTTGTTCCTGTATTGCTCCGCCATAACTGCAGATTCAAAGGCAGTGACAACATCGCTTACCACGAAATGGCCTTCTACGTCATTGTTACTAGAAGCCAGGTAGGTTGGTCTTACCTGCATGTCATTATATTGTAATCACAGTATAACAGAAGTACACTGACTATAGAATTTAGTGTTTGTTAATTTGTTTTATTAGTGGGGCAGTGTGGGTACCATAACCACGTTTGTGTACTATAGTGGTTTTGGTACTAGGAGTCACATGGCATTACATTTTAACAGTAGTTAAAATGTTTCCTTACAGTTTAAAATCATCGTGGAACCCCTGGGTGCCTCTGTTTCAACCTCCTCTTTGGATATCACTAAAGCAGACCAATCCCTACCTCTGCATTGGTGATGTCAATTCTGTTTGGATGGAATTCGTTGGCAGAGCTTGTGCTCTCAGTGAATGAATTTTATCCAAACATAGTTGAAATTGATATATCTATTGTGCAAGGGGAACTTCTCCTTTAGAAATATTACAAATGGAGCTTAACTCTATGCAGTCGGTGGACCCAGGTCAGTGTTAAGCCATATAATAATGGTCTGACCACATGCTGAGAGACAGCGCTGGGAGAGCCATTTTAATATTCTCTTCTATTGTACATATTAAAATTTAAGAGGAAAATATTGTAATCATTTGCAGATTTTAATCATAAGAGTTTTTTTTTATTTATTTTGAATACCTAGTCATGTCTTGCATTTGGCCTGTGCTGTTTTCCCCCCAAACTTTCCCCACTTAAAAAAGCTTGCAAGATACTACTTGAACCACAAGTTCCATTACTTTGCTCCATGATCTCTGTCCTGATGGTCCCCAAATCACCAGTGCTTTTTACTTATTTACAACAGACTGCGCTTACTTGTCAGCCTCTTCTTCAAGCCATTTATAAGGACACTCCAGGCACTAGCAAAACTTAAGTGCATTTTTTTTGGCCTGGTATTCATATTCATCAAATGTACTGAAGTTGTGTTGATATAGTATTCTTTAACGTCTTGCTTGTAGACTGCACGCAGCTCTGTGTCCATTAACCCAGCAACCGATGCCAGATGGTAAACATCACGGATGTTTTTAAGTACACTTCATTTCAAGAAAATGTAGCTTACACATTTCCATATGTGCAGCTAGAGCTATTACTTGAACTCTGGTGTAATTAGTTTTGCCATTTATTAAATGCTGAATTTTTCCTTAAGGGCTCCATTGTGAGTTCTACAAGTTCAGTCTAATGATTGCCAACCAGTTTCAGTTCTCGGAAGGAATTTTAGAGCTACAGGCATAAAAGGGGCTTATAAAAGCATTAAAAGAAGTGAACAAACTTACATAGGAGAGGGACATACAGGGGTAAGGAAACTTCTAAATACGCGTCTATTTAGACATTTTACTTTGAAATGGTATCATAAAACAAACAAAACATGCATTCTTTTTAAAAGGTTATAGCAGAACTGGATGTCCAGCTTGTGTAGGACTTCAGCTCCCAGCATGCATTTGGTATTACAGAATTGGAGAAAAGCTAATTAGTGAACAAACCCCATATTATTCTAGTAGTGTGATGTGATAAACCAATAAGATGTGATCCAGTTGCAACTTTACTGAACATGCTTCAAAAATACACAACACCTATTTATACAGTGTTCTTCAAATAGCATCAACAATGAATGACAAACAAGTCCTGCCTACCTGACTCGTACATCTAATTATACAATTGTGATATCATTATATGTGAGCAGAAAACATTTCAGCTCTCTAGTTATCTATCCCCTCTCTGAAAGTGTCTTTAAAATAAATAAATAAAAATTTAAGGAATTTCTTATTGCGTTCCTTTTAGTTTGGTGGATGGAAAGTGAAGAGCAAAGAGGAACAAAGGACAGTTTGCTTTCTGCCTAATTTTTAAATGCTTCCATGTAATATTGTCTGAAAGGGCAGAATGCTATATGTTAGCGATTTAGAAAGGTGCGAACACAGCAAAACAGACACATTACAAGAGAACCCTGAGAACAGACCGTTAAATTAGCTTGTCAATCAGTGTGTCCCAGCTCACTTGTGCCATTACAGAGAGAATCGGAACTAACTGCATATCAGTTTGATGTTACCCAAAAAGGCAGTCCATATCGGAAACACTAGCCTCCCCCCACCGAGACGTTAGTGGGGACCCAATGAAGGGCAGACTGTCTGAGTTTTCTATTCTCTGTGCTCGTTTGCACATAGTTTAGGTTACACTTGGAAATACTTAAGGTCTCCCGAATGTAAAGATTAATCCAAACATGAATCCATGGTGTCTCTGGAAGGGTTTTGGCTACACCTCACTGGCCGACACCATCAATCCAGAGGGAGCAAGCCAGCATTTTGAATATTGAATCCCCCTGTGTCTGGCAGCAGTCTCTCCTGTGTCTGGCATAGGTTTTCTCGGACATGCCAGAAGTGTGTTGAAATAAAAATCCAGATTCCTGAGCAGGGATCACCAGAGTGCGAGCTATTGAGTTGAGCTCTGAGTAATAATCCCAATCATAAAACTGTAAAATGTTTGTGGAATTTCGAGAAGAAATAAAAAATACAACATTGATATTGTGTTATTGGCAATGCATATTGTCAGGGCTGTGGATATAAAAAATAATCTACTTGTCCAAGGAACTAAAGTGGTAGCCCAATCTTAAAATTAGAATATTTGGGACCCTGCTTAGACCTGGACATTGGCATGATTATTTACTAAAACTGAGGCCAAAATAGCTGTGTAGTGTCTGCCTGCCGTCCTCCCCCATAATGTATGCTGTGTATCAGCTGGGTGTAATGTGTGTGGTGTGTGCTGATAATCTTTGTATGCTGGCTGTATGGTGTGTGCTGTCTGTGTGTAGTGTGATGTGTGTTGGACCGCGACCTTGGTAATTCTGCTCCTCGCTATGTGAGAGTACATTCTGTGAGTCTGCAATATGCTCTGACTCAGTCGAACATACCGGAAACAGCAGATTCAGCATCTAGTATTACGCTCACATGCCGAACCCCTAAACACTGTTCTTATTCTAGTAGCCCTGCCACTTACTATACTGCATGCCTAGCGACCAGAGGGATAGTATGGGCTAAGTAAAACTATTCTTCTTAAAAAAACTATTATATGATTTGTAAGAAGGATAAAGCTCTGAATATTGTGTTGTATTTAAGACAACAAAAAACTACTAAAATATACTCAGCACTGAAATGAGAAAAAGCTTGGAAGAAGCTCAAATAAGAGGGTTAATGGGTTATTCATACATTATAACCACTAGAGCCTGCTGTAGTATTTATGATATCTTGGTGCCATTCCCTGATAAAAGAGGCAAACCATTTTGCAATCAGTGCAATTTGCAATTGGTTTCTCTCCTGGCTGAACGACAGCTCTTCAGGGGCCGGATACCAATCCTGTCATTCATTTGTTGGCTGTAAGTGTCAGTATCTGTGCCCAGAACAATGCACAGAACTAACATTAGCCTGACTGGAACTCTCATACTGGGCTGGCTAGTGATGCTGCTGGTGGTGGAGTTACACCTCCTGCAGGTAACCCAAATAGCTCTGTGTTTGACATACAAGCTTCTTGCACCATGACCACTTCATTACACTTCTTGGAGTGATACACATATTTTTTCAAGTATTTCACCATTTAAATGTTACGTTTATCAAGTTAGCTGTTGCAGTCTGAAGTTATAATATGACCACGAGGAGAAGCTGCAGATAATAGATATACATTATGCGTATGCAAGGTAGCTAGTGAAGCTGTAATATGGACACACAAGGAACTGCAGTTGTTAAAGGTATTCTAGCAGAATGGAAGGAGCTACAATTCATAACAACATCATGTAGCACATGTATAATGCAGACATGAAACGAGTTGCAACTGGTTAAGAAATAATACGGAAATATATTCTGATAATGGCTGTAGTTAGTGTGTATTCATGTATGGACATAGAAGGACATGGGTAGACCGTGAGAAGATTGAGAATAGGTTGCATGAGAGAAATTGACATTTTTTTTGTTGATGTATCACTGCTTCTATTGAATGGCATTCTGGGCATCATGTGAAATGTATCCCTTACTATAATGTGCCCCACCACCATGTATATGTGTGAGCATATATGTCTATTCAGTAATCCTTACAGAAAATGTGTCATATGTACATGAATCTTAAAGGCTGTGTTGTCTTCCATAGTGAATATTTAGCGGACGAAGGGGAGGATAAGTTCTGGAGCTTTGTTGAAGAAAACCTGCAGGTAGATGACCAAGGTAAACAAGTTTCACACAGCTGTACTTTATGAGGTGTCTGTAATGTGTGCCAGTCTGTACCTTTGTTTGGTGAGAACCACATGAGCATAAACCGATTAAAAGAATGATCAGTGTTTTTCCCCACCAAGGAAATAGGATTTTATTTGATTTCTTTTGGTTATATATGACATTATTATTAAGCTTAGTTGTACTAATTTTATCTGTATCACAGTGAAGAAACTTTAAGTGGTCTCCACCAGGAATAAAACCTGTTTCTGAGGTTTGAAAATGGTATATATTTATTATATTGATAGTCATTCTAATCCATCTCAAGTGGGTAAATTATAATATAAAATCATAGTCTTTATAGGAAACCTATTTCCCCCCGATTTCACAGCTAACATCCATATTAAATTTACAGTTACGTTCCTATTTGAAACAGTTTCATCAAATTAAAATCCAAAGAATTAATATTTTCCTGAAATTTAATATTTATCATGAATGGTTTCAAGATTTTATGTACTACATTGATTTAGGCTTTATATCATTTTTTTTTTTTTTCTAATTTTTTTCAATATGAGTGTTGTATATTTAAATGTCAATAAATTTCCCTTTAAGTTATTAAAATATTTATTTAACAGTAACTCTTAAAAATGCGCTTAGGCATCAATATATATTCTGTTTGTTGTTTTTTTTACTTTTACAAAACCATTACAATTATGATTAAATTGAAAGTTACGTTGGAGATAAGCTGACTGTTATCTATCTGTTTTTGCTCTTTTTACACTACAGGAAATGATAATTCAAAATATGAACTGACGCTGAACAGAGCTAGCACACATCTCTCGCCGTTACAGCAGAGCCTGCTGAAGTTTGCCTTGTCTCTGCGATCCTACTCAGCTACTGTACAGACATTCCAACAGGTTTGTTTGCAGATCCTAAATTTAATGCATAATATCTGTACTTAAAGCCGGTGGGATGTACATGGCACGTGTGAAAGCTCACAACAGGAAAGGGCCCTAATTATGACTGTGATAAAACCCATCGGTAAAAATAATTGCTCTTTTGCAGATTGCTGCTGACGAGCCTCCGCCATTGGGCTGTAGTGCTTTTATCTCAGTTCATGGAGTGAAGACGTGTGATCTGGATAGCTTGCCTTCACTTCTCAAGACTGCTACAGAGAGGTGTGTATACTAACATACGTCTCCCAGAAATGTGTCAGCAATCTGAGCAATACTTTGTAGTTCTGTTCTATTATTATATGGGATTTATATTCACAAGTCATGCTACCCACTGCATTACACGTTACTCCTCATATTTTTAGTTAAGTTTAGGTACCATTGACGTTAGATTTTTTTGGGGTATTTTTTTGTATTTTTTTTTATAATTCCCTATTTTCCTTTTATAATATTGCTGCATTTTATCTGCGGTTATATCTCCAGATGACTGGAACAGAAATTAACCATATATGGTGGGATAATCTAATCATCAGCAAAGTTAAAGGGGCAGTTTTAAGTATTATAATCACTACATGACATTATAGTAGTTATGGTGTAGTAGGCTGCAGGCGCTGTGCCATGGCTCTGTACTATGTGTTTTTTAAGTGATTTGACCAAAACAGGGATTCCCGATGCACTTGTGGTTTGGCTCCTGCTCACTGGATTACACTTCTGTGTTGACAATATCGATTTTGTCCATATTAGGATGGCATTGATAGGCCGTGCACATCGGTATTATACTAATCTGTACGTTGATTAACAAAAACACCAGCAAATGCTTTAGTTTAAAGTAAATAAATCCACTTATCCAGTTGTATGCATCCTCCAGAAGCTAAGCATCATGGGTTGCCACATTTAGGTGCTTTTAAATCTGACCTTTATGTTAACAAGAATAGAGGTAATTTATAAACGCTAATATCAGAATATAATTTTGCAAACACTTTTTTACATTGCGTGGTTGTTATTCTATATTTATTATCCATAAAGTTATACTATGTTGTTTTTTTTTTTTCCAGTGAAAGGTACTTTATAAATAGCTTCAAATTTACATTTCAAGAGTGAACTCAACCTACTTAACTAATGTATTTAGGCTTCTTGTCTAGTAAAACAATTTGGATTGTTTTACAAAGAAGGTCTAATTCTCTGTAATACTCATGTGAGTTAAATTAATGAAACATATCTGTAAAAGGTATTGTAAATGTTAAGTACGACTCCAATACTTTGTTGTTAATAGGAGTCTTCTTCTATCTAACTCCATGTTTTAACATTAATCTCTGAGAATTCTGAATCAAGCCAGGTTGACTTGCACTGAATGTTGTTTTATTTTCAGACAATTGTCTTGCATTTTTATTGCCTAGGCCCAAACCATTCTTGTTCAAAGGAGATCACAGGTATCAAAGTAAAGCCTCTGACAGCCCTGTGGTTATACTTTATGCTGAAATTGGCTCAAAGGACTTCTCCAGGTTCCACCTCCTGCTTTCGGTAAAGGCCAGAGCTGGAGAGATCAACTATGTCCTCCGTCACTATGTCGCGGTATGTACCACTGTTAGCTTGTGCTCTGTTTGCTTTGTTTGTCTGTAGTTATGATTGTCTGCAAAAATGCTACACTGGAGTCAGTAACATGTCTAATCATAAGTTTGTCGAGTTAATAATAACAACTAGTATTTATATAGTGCCTTTTATCGCCCTCGGAAGGATGAAGGGCTGAGTTGATTTGAACCAGTGACCTTGCATTTTTGAACAGGCTTTGTAGTCGGGGAATTTACCAACTGAGCTACCTCACCTGCTTTTTAACATATCATTTATAGCTGGTGCAATCGGAGTTTACCTCTGATATTTCAAAATCCCTGAATTTAAACCAAATTGTAGGGTGCTGCTATATTCAGAGATTAGTCCAGAACCCTTTGTACAGCGCTGCAGAATTTGTTGGTGCTGTATAAATAATAACAACAACAACAATGGGCAAATGCATTGTTGACCAATTGGTGTCACAAAATACATTAATAATAAAACCCCATCCAACTTCCATCCAAGTTGTAATAGTTTTGATATTAAAGGAACACTCCAGATACATAAAGTGTGTATAGAGTCTGTCGTACTAGTGATACTTTATAAAAGTGCTGAATTCAATAGAAATCGTCACTTTTAAAAATGGTAGAAGAAGCAGACAGCCAGGGAGGTTTCCTACACTTTCATTAACTCCACAGAGTTAACAGAAGTGGCAGTCATGCTGGGCTCATCTGCACCTGTCCTTTTCTCCATGAATTGCCCTCCAGCTGAAAGTCAAAGCATAGCCGCAATCATGTACTCCAGTGACAAGCCTCTGCTTGGTGAATTCCCTGGCGCAGACTGAAATTCTGAAAGTTTTCTTTGGCAGGGTATATCTAATAAATTGTTTAACAAATATTCTCACACATTTCAGTGGAATGTTCCTTTAACTATTTGGTTGCTTTCAGACTGTCCACAAAGTTGGACATTGATAATCACATTTGGAGGTTCATTGCCTTTCTACTTTTTTTCAGGGGATATGACATGCAAATAATACCTGTGTACTTATACCTGGTTATAATTTTACAATTAATTAATAAAATAGGCTTATAGTGCGTTACAAAAAATGCAGAATCACTGCAACTGTGCTAAAAAATGCAAAGGAGGTGCACTTCCTTTCATATGCAGCTTAGAAGGTCCCTTTAACCCACTACGATGACACTTAATAGGTGTCCCTATGCTCTTTTAGTGAGCCCCCACTATAGTCACCAGAACAACTACAGCTTATTGTATTTGTTCTGGTGAGTATAATCAGTCCGTTCAGGCTTTTTGCAGTAAACACTGTTATTTCAGAGAAATTGCAGTGTTTCCATTACAGCCTAGTGATCACTTCACTGGCCACTCCTCATATGGCTGCTAGAGGTGCTTTCTGGGGCAGTGCTGCACAGTGTGCAGCATTTACATTCAGTGTCTCCACCCTCTGCATGGAGACATTGAACTCTCCTCATGGAGATGCATTGATTTTCTATCTCTATTAGGAAATGATGTTTGGCTTGTGCTGGCTCTGTTCTTGATCTGCCTCCTTGACAAGCTCAGCCAATCCAATGCTTTCCTATGGGAAAGCATTGTGAATGGCTTTGATCAAAACTTCTGATGATGTCAGCCAAGCAGGCAGATCAGGGGCAGAGTTAGCAGCAGCAGACTGGAGTAAAGATATGGTTTTAATAGATTTAGGACAAGGGGTGGCCAGGGGGTCTAGATGGTGGTTTTAACACTATAGGGTCAGGAATACATTTGTGTTCCTGACCATATAGTGTTCATTTAATAGAAAAATATGTACAATAAATGGTTTACTATTGTGACACTGATTGGAAGATTTAAACTAAGATTTTTTGGAGAATTTATTTTAGTATTTATTTATTACATCACAATTGTAGAATGGGTCACCAAGCTAATGGCATGTGCAACATTTGGATCCTTTCATAAATGGCTCTAGAGCAGGGGTAGGCAACCTACGGCACTAGTGCCATGCATGGCACTCGAGGTGCCTTTGCACGGCACTCAGGGCTACAAGAGCCAAACAGGCTCTGGCCTGTCAGGAGTCCCAGTGAAACTTAAGATATCTGCTAATACGAAAAGGTGGTGAAGGACAATCCTCCATTTATGCATTGCAGCACGTAGAGGAAGTGATCTCAGATCACTTCCTCCCAGCACTTGTGAATGGGAATCCACACTGGAGTAGAGCAGCCCACAGCTTCCTGTTGCAGCTTCTGTCCTTGAGCTGTACCTGGCCAAACTGGTCCCCACTAAAACCCAGGGAAGCCTCCCACACTGCTAGATATACACAGAGCTGCAGAATAACCCTCCCCTCATACAAATAATGCAAACAGCTCACGCACAAACACAGCACCACCAACAATCCACATACATAGACACAACCCCACATGCAGCCTCTCACATGCAATACCCCAAACAGCCCCACACTTACACACACTACCAAATACACAATGTGACATGTGACATATCCATCCACACACAATTCCACAAGCAGCCCCTATACACACCCCAAATTCATAGGTATTATACATGATACCACAAACTATTAATGAACATATACAATATAATAGCTCATATACGCACAAATACAATGATACAAAGCAACTGCAGTATAAATAACACAAGCAGAATATGGCAACATGCACACCTCAGTTTAAAGAAATAGGACCGACATGCTACGGGACATCACAATCATATTTCGGCACAGTGCTGCTAAAAGGTTGCCTACCCCTGCTCTAGAGTCTCTGCTGTAAACCAAAACAATTTTCCATGCAGCTTCATATCTCACCTAGATTTTTACTTATTTTTCAAACGTATTACCTAATCTGAATTAAATGTTCTCTGCTCTTTTTAATATCTTACTGAGATATATGCAGTATGGTGTGTTAAAGGTCATTTTTAAATATTATAGTTTGCAAGGTAATAATACAAAAAGCTGAAAAGTACATCTGGGTAAATTTAAATTGTGGTACGTGTGCACTGTTATTAGTCTGAAAAGCGTTTGTGATTTAATTCCGGGACCCTGCTGAACTTAGATTGATTTAAATAGAATTCTTAAATGTGTGACTGTAAAGTGGACAATAATTATACCAGAGGGTGGGGGTGGTTGTTGGTCTGTAAAGCCTCTTTTTATAAGCAACACAAATCCTTCCTTTTTTTTTTAAGAATCCTGGAGCTGAGAAAGTTTTCCTTTCTGGTTATGGTGTGGAATTGGCAATTAAGAGCACCGAATACAAAGCAAAGGATGATACTCAGGTGAAAGGTAAGCTTGCAGCTTTAGCAATAACCAGGTGTGCAGGTGCATGTTCAAACGTACAGCTGAAATTTATAGTGTTGAGTTGACAGCTAGATTTCAGACTTTAGTCATGGTTTGTAAAGGATATTATAAAGTATTACAAAATACTAAATAAATATGAAAAAATTAAGTTATAGTGTCTGCATTTCCAGCAGATGCCCATTATTTGAAACTGCTTCAGTGTTGTTTGCCTTGACTAGTAGCTGAAAAGCTTCCTGTCAATCCTGACACTCCCTTTGCTTTAAGTGGGTGGTTTATGGGATATATTGTTAATTGCTGGCAGCAATTTAATTAATGAAGAAACATGATTGAATTCATGGCTGGTTTCTGTTACTTTAAATATAGAGCCATTTATTTTATTTAAAGGACCACTATAGTGCCAGGAAAACATACTCGTTTTCCTGGCACTATAGTGCCCTGAGGGTGCCCCCACCCTCAGGGACCCCCTCCCGCCCGGCTCTGGAAAGGGGAAAGGGGTTTAAACTTACCTTTTTCCAGCGCTGGGCGGAGAGCTCTCCTCCTCCGATCCTCCTCTTCTCCTCCCATGCGGCTGAATGCGCACGCGCGGCAAGAGCTGCGCGCGCATTCAGCCGGTCGCATAGGAAAGCATTTACAATGCTTTTCTATGGACGCTGGCGTGCTCTCACTGTGAAAATCATTGACAGCCACTAGAGGATTAGGGGGAAGGCTTAACCCATTGATAAACATAGCAGTTTCTCTGAAACTGCTATGTTTATTAAAAAATGGGTTAACCCTAGAAGGACCAGGCACCCAGACCACTTCATTAAGCTGAAGTGGTCTGGGTGCCTAGAGTGGTCCTTTAATCAACAGTAGGTATGTACTTCTCTGGAACACATGCTCCCTTATAGAACTCTATGAAGAGACTCTGGCTAAGATAAAAGATCTGAGTGACTCTGACAAGAGCCAGATAGTAATGGCTCGATGACTGGGTCAAAGCATATCTAAAAGGCAAGTCTTGTGAGGTGTTCCTGGTATGCAGTGGTTAGTACCTAATAAAAGTGGTGCAAGGAAGGACAACCAGTGACTAGCGTCAGAGGAGCCCAAGGCTCATTGATGCAAGTGGGGAGCAAAGGCTAGGCTCCCTGGACCCATCACGGAGAAGAGCTATTGTTGCTCAAATTGCTGAAAAGCATAATGCTGGCTTGATAGAAAGGTGTCAGAACACCCAGTGCATCATAGTTTGCTGTATATGGGCTGAGTAGGCAGAGACTGGTCAGAGTGCCCATGATGACCCCTGTCCACTGCTGAAAGTGCCATCAGTGGGGACATGAGCATCAGAACTGGACCATGGAGCAATGGTTGCCTGTTCTGATGAATCACGTTTTCTTTTAGTTCAGATAGAAGGCCGGGTGCATGTGCGTCATGATGGCAGCAGGATGCACTATGGGAAGAAAGCAGGCCGGCGGTGGAAGTGTTCTGCTCTGGGCAATATTCTGTTGGGAAACCTTGGGTCCTTGCGTTTATATGTCTGTTACTTTGACACAGACCATCTACCTAGAGATTGTTGCAGACCAAGTACACCCCTTCATCCCTTTATGGCAATGTTGTTCCCTAATGGCATTGGCCACTTTCAGCAGGATAATGCACCATGCACCAGTGCAAACGTTTTTCCAAAATTATTTAAGGTTTATGACAAAGCATTCAAAGTGTTGCCCTGGCCTCCAAATACCCAGATCTCAATCAGATTGAGCGTATGTGGGATGTGCTGGAACAATAAATCCAATCCATGGAGGCCCCACCTCGCAATGTGCAGGAATTTAAGGATCTGCGGCTAATGTGCCAGAGACCAGAGGACACATTCAGATGTCTTGTGGAGTCCATGCCTCAACGTATCAGAGCTGTTTTGGCAGCATGAGAGAGACCTACATGATATTAGGCAGGTGGTTTTAATATTGTGGCTGATCAGAGCACATTTTGAATGAAGTGATGGACTTATAATGGCAGCTACTGGTATCCAATTGCACCAGATGTTGTTATGGTGCTTGGAGTATTTTTTGATATAAGCATGAAACCCACATAGCTTTAAAGTTATCCTTTACGTTTAGCCTTATTGATTATGTTGACTAGCCTTGTGATATATGTATTGAAAAATGAGTGTTTTGAATTCTGTTTAAGAGTTAATTGTAACTTTGATTTATTTACTTCTTAAGGAAATGATGTAAACGCCACTGTGGTTGGTGAGAATGATCCGCTTGATGAAGTACAAGGATTTCTCTTTGGGAAGCTCAGGTAGAATTTATTTTAATAGTCTGTGTGTGAAATAACGGGATGGATGTGCACAGGCAATAGAGAAAGCAGATTTGACAATTTCAATGAAATCCTACATACATATCAATGGAATTAAAAATGTATCTAAAATACAATTCCAAACCATACCTATTTATTTATGGTTATATTCTGCATATCAAATTATTTGAAATAACTATTCTAAGTTGCATTTACATTTGTTCATATGCAAAGCATATAGAAGGTTTATTATTTTTTTAATAGTTTATATTTATTGAATTATTATTATTATTATTTAATTCATTTGTTTTGTTGGGAGCAGTACTGCTGTTACTGTTTTGCTTTGTGCCTTTGCACAGATTTTTGTAGTATGATGGTAGCAGGCTATCACAGCTGTGTCCGGCTCACTTGCTGATATTTGCACCTGTACAAATTGTTCATATCGATCGGCGCCACTGCAGGCCGCTTCATGTTAGATTCCTCACTACAGCCTTGCCGTGAATGTGAAAGTGTAGATACAGCTGTTTTACTTTCTTTATTTCTTGCATTCCATTGTAAATCCACATATTGAAAGTATTGAGTTCCAATTTTGGAAATGCACACAACAAAGAGGAATTGCTGTATTTTCTGTTGATGCATGATTTATAATCCCACATTTTTTATATATATATATATATATATATATATATATATATATTAAAAAAAATCTAGTTTGTCCTTTATAGCTTAATGTCATATAAACGAGTGGATCCAACGGTTCAGTACAAAGACTATTCAAGATACAGTGTACACATTAATGACCCTCATTAAATACAACCGCCCTTCCCCCTCTGCCCCAAAGAAACCAAAACAAGATTCCTAGACAAGAAAATTTACAAAATGTACTGGATCATACATAACCTACTACACCATTCTAATTACTCACCTGGTAACTCCAATAAATAATTCCCATCAACCACAGAAACCAAATATATATATATATATATATATATATATATAGATATATAGTAATACTATATACATCCCTTACAAAAAGTCTACAGTCTATCAATGCTGGAAACATAGACTCATTTCTATTTAATAGACAAGTGGCAATGCACACAGCCATAGCAATGACTTTTATATACTTGTACATGAATTTGTGTTCATTGTGAATGGAAAACGGTCTCTCCCAGCACATTCACAAAGTTTGAATTGGGTAATTTCTTGTATTTTTCAGAAGTTGACTATCTGATATTCTATTTAGTAATATTATTTATATAGTGCCAGCATACCCCGGAACACTTTACAATTATAAGAGGTGAAGAAAGCTTACTTTACTCTATGAGTAAAGACCTGCCATTTCCAAGCACTGATATACATTACACAATCAAGAAGCCCAAGTCCCATCACATAACAGTACCCTATAGCTCACATATCACAACAGTGATAGTCCTTTCAGTATTTTGCAATGTCAGCTCCATTAAAAGACTTTGGTCATCTGTGCCGCTTTTAAAATCTTGGAAAGGGGAAATGAAAACTTTTTCACCTCTGGCTTATGACTTGATTTTTATGTGTTGAGATATGGGTTTCAAGAATAATTATGCATTGTATCCCCCCCCCCCAGAACTTTATTCATCAGTTTTACACTGTTTTAACATAAACCCTGTATGTAAGTCCAGCAAAATGCACTGATGCATCCTTCTAACTCCAAGTCTTAGCTCTCTAGTTGAGCCTACCTGCATTAATACGTTAAGCTTTGCAACCTTTGTATTTCAAGTAATACTTTATAATGTGAATCCCTCTGCCTGATATATTAAATCCACAGTAATACCTGCCGCTAACTTAAATTCTTGGTTTTCAGACAAATTTATCCAGAGCTAAAAGAACAACTGAAAGAATTGAGAAAGCATTTAGTAGAAAGTACCAATGAAATGTCACCCTTGAAAGTTTGGGAACTGCAAGGTACTACACTTCTGTCTTTATTATGTGATATTCATAGTTTCAGTAGCACAATGCTGACATACTGGTATTGTCTCGTCATTCTCTAAATTTAGGTTGTATTTCTCATGTTTAAAGGAACACTACAAACATTTATTCCTAACGGTAGAGTGTTCTATCAACTATTTTAGATTATTACATTTTTTTGTTTTTACTCAGATCTCAGTTTCCAAACTGCTGCCCGTATCCTGGCGGCTCCTTCTTCAGAAGCTCTATTGGTTTTGAAAGATTTGAGTCAGAATTTTCCAACGAAGGCCAGGTAATGTGCATCTGTTTTCGCTAAACACAATAAACACATGATTGAGCACACTTCAAATACCAATCAATTTAAAGGGATTAATTGTGACCTTTAAAGTGACTTTATTATATTATGTTATATTATTATATTGCTTAGCACATCTACAGAGACAAGTATACTGAGCTAGTGACTCTTCAACCAGTCCTTTGGTTTTATATATATATATATATATATATATATATTCCATGGGTGGTCTTTCGGGACTGTTCTAAGGCCTCTCATTATAAGACGTCATGTCTTTCATGACAATGAATATGTAATATGTGAATGCTAGTTTATAGATACATATGCCATAGATATGTTTCTATGACCCTGAAAGAAATCACATGAGAACATAGATTTTAAATGATATATCTGTGTGCAATACATGTATACCAAAATCCTAGCTTTGTGATTTTTATTCTTCAGTAGACCACATTCCTGATATTTCATTGCTATAGAATTAGATTATGCCAATCGATAGCCTTAACTAAGTATAAGGTACAGTGACACAGTGGAGACAAAGCTGGTCTGGAAGGGAAATGTGTATAGCTAGTGCTAGTCATCTCAGTAATGTAATATGCAGTTTGCTATTTTTTTTTTTGACAGATCATTAACCAGAACAGCAGTGGATGCAGCTCTTCGCCGAGAAGTGGAGGAAAACCAGAAGGTGAGAGTTTTAGATTTTCGTTCTACAGTACAAGTATATAAATTAATATATATATATTTTTTTCTTTGTTGTGATGTGTTTTTCATTGTGTGAAATGAATATACATGTATTCACTGAAAAATTTATTTACTGTTTGCAATATTTGTCCAGTAGTCCTAGATGGTAGTAAATCCAAAACAACAATATTGGTAATCTGGACAATTTCATCCATATAAATAATGTGTAGGGCAGGGATAGGCAACCTTCTGCACTCCAGAAGTTGTGGACTACATCTCCCCTGACGCTTTGGCAACAATATGGTTGCAAGAGCATTATTGGAGATGTAGTCCACGACATCTGGAGTGCCCAATCTTGCCTTCTCCTGACTTAGGGCATCAGGCAGTTTGGGGGCTGAAAAATGTATGGGCATATTCTAGAATGAGAAAGAAGAAACTTATAGAACACAGAGCATGTGAAAACATTGGGAAATGGAATGAAATGTGTGGCATAACAAGGTCAATATGACTAGGGAGATGCCTATGTTTCTTATTGGTTGAGGAATCGAAAGAATTACGTGCATAAATGTGAGTACTCTTGATATATGTGATATGGAAACCTTGGGACAGAATGTTGAGTGGTTGGGTATCATAAAAGCCAAACAGAATATATCCAAAGTTATAAAGACTAAAATATTATAGTTCTGATATAAATAGTATTTATAATAAAATGTACTGTCAACTGAGACATCGTATTGCTATTTTGGACTGGGGAAAGGTAATTTATTTTTACTTTTTGAGGCAAAGTTGGAAATAATTTTTCTGTGTATTACTCCTTATATTGGATCAACCACAGCAACAGGAATGTGCCAAAGATTGAATCTGATATATATGAGCCAAAATCACATTTTATTTAGGGCACCATAAAACAAGAGATTCAGTGTGTCAAGTATTATATACAACTCAGAGCTGCTTGGGGGGGAAATAGCCTCCAAATTAATTCTGGCAAATTTTCCTAAAATTTTATCTCTTGATCTCACTGCCTTTTGAGTCGGTGAGGATGAAACTCAAGAGAGCTGTCAGGTGGTTGGCTGTTAAAATGCTTACCCACAGCCAAACGCTGCACTGGTGCTAAATGCAGGTTTTGTTTCCAAGTTCGTGAATTACCTTATACTTCTTTCACAATTCCCATCCTTTAGACATGAATGAGGATGTTCTATGCTCTTTGTTCTCTTTTGTTTCCATATGTTCCCGTAGTTCAGATAGAGCACTCCATGATCACATACTGGATGAGATGCTAATCTGTTCTAATGTTGGATGTGGCTTTTGCTAGTGCTTTAAAAATGGTATATACTATTAATTAAAATGGAATTGTACTACTAATGTAGATTGAAATGATTTGCATGGTCTTGTTTTCTAGTCCAAAATGGATCTAGTAGTAAACTAGTAGTAAAGTAGGAGCTTAGGGTTATATTGCATAAAAAATGTCATGGTTGGTATCTTACATTATTAATAATCTTTTTATTTGTACAGTATTTCAAAGGTTCCTTGGGTATACAGCCTGGAGACTCTGCCTTATTCATCAATGGATTACACATTGATCTAGAAAGTCAGGATATATTCAGGTAACTATCGTGTGGGAGCAGTCCTAAAGACTCAATCCTGATAAATGACACGACTGGCAAGCAGGGCAAAGTTGACAAACTGGGAAGATTCACAGTGGACACGTCAGCAAAATGACTGACTAAAAAAATAAAGACTTCAATTACTGCAGCATAGTCTTACTATTCCATATACTACAATCCTTTCATAGTCATTAGAACCGACATTAAAACAAAAAAAATCTTATTTAGTTGAGGTTAGAATGTTTTACCAACGATTCTACAAGTCACTTCTAGTTTTAGTTTTGTTGTTTTGGCCTAAAGTATGAAATTCACTTTAAATTCCCAGCATTTCTCATTTTAGTCAATAACCCTATCAGATTTTTCTAAGTAGAGTCCAGCGGGCCATTTCATACCACCATTTCCATTTCTAGTCTCCTTAGTCCCATGGACTGACCTTAATTGAATACATTGTTTCAAAACTCTATTTAACTGACAGTATGAGCAATGAGGTACCCCCTCAAATACATTGACTTCAATGGCTTGATCTCTTATGGGTGACCGATGTTCATCCAGCTGCTGATGTCTCTTGAGGCATCAATCAGTAGTTTCATAGTTGCTAAGCGGTATGCTTTGCTATGTGCTTCTAATAGAACCCTTTCTGGAGTCTATATTTCTTGAGCCTGATCCAATGGAAATGACGGGACCATAAGAGATTAGAGATGTAGGCCAAGTGTTCAATCAGTGAAAAGCTAACAAATGGTTTGGTTCTTTAATAACGTTTATATGTACATCCCTACAGTTTGTTTGATATATTGCGCAATGAAGCTCGGGTGATGGAAGGTCTTCATCGATTAGGGATAGAAGGTCCTGCCCTGCACAACGTTCTCAAGCTCAATGTTCAACCCTCAAATTCAGACTATGCTGTGGATATCCGTAGTCCTGCCATAATAGTGAGTAGTAGTAGCACTAGATCCAGTGACTGAGAGAATAATGCATGCCATGCATAGATGGCACAAAAAGAAATTGTTTCCTGACACTCCAGGCTAGAGGTTCTCCTCATTTTTAAATGCAATATTAATAGAGGACAATTAAAATGAACAGCAAAAATACTCAATTTTCCCATTGTATGCAGCACATTTGCTGCTTTTGCAGCTACCAGGAATTTTCTGATAAGCACGTCCTGGTCCATTTATCCCCAAAAAGTCTCCAGCTGTAATGGTGGGATAATAATATTGTAGTGGACTGAGATCATGGAATTTGCAGTCAGGAGAGTTGATAATTTTAATATAATGGGCAGGGGCAATGTGAGTTGTAGAATAGTGTGAGTAACAGTGGACACTGGTTGGATAGTGATAGTTTGGGTTAAGGAATTAAAGATTAGTTATCTTTTAGGAGCTTAGGGTTATATTGCATAAAAAATTGCAATAGATGATTTAAGAGTTAATTGTAGTAAAGTTGGGGGACCTCTGTTCAATGTTAATACCTTCATAGCAGATTAACACTGAACAAGGGTGTGTGGCCACCCACAGCCCAGCCCCCATTGGATTTATAACAGAGGCAGAGATTATTCACTTCCTTAGTCATACCCATTCATACCAGGAATGTGTAGCTATGATAGGCACTAGAACCATTTCTTCTCAGTTAAAATGAGTCCAATAACACTGTACCTCCATCCAGTGTTAAACCATTTTTGAGCAGTTTAACACTAAATAAAGGTTACCCACACCCCAGCCCATACTAGAGGTGTGGCTAAGACAGAGATTACACTCTTTCTGCTAGCCATACCAATTCATACCAGCAGTGGTGACTGTGATAGACTGAATGCAGTCAGCTGACACTCTCAGCCAGTTACAACTACCCATTGCTGCTCAGACTAACTCTTGTGTGGAGGTCATGGGTTGCTGGGGACTCTTGTTTAGCATTAAAACATTAAAAATGGTTTAACATTTAATGAAACGATTGCGTCTGGCAACAGTGGACAGAGTTAGATGAAGGGGATACAGTGCCTAATGTGTCCCTTTAGGGAAGAGTGGGCAATGGGAGTAAAGGAACACCGTGTCAACACAGTTGTGATTTAAGGAGAGGGAAGTGAGAGAAAAAAACTCTAATCAGAAGAAATATTTATTCTCCATGAATGTTATCATGACGGAATATGTTTATCTTGGCCCCTCTATGGTTAATTACTGTGCATTCGAGGAGGAGGAGGGATCCCTGTTACCCTGCTCCTGTGTACCATACCAGGAGTATTATAGCTATTGTTCACCAAAATATATTAAAGTATTAAACAAAATGTGTACAGGAAGTGCACACACCTCCTGCTCCTTGTATTTGATGCCACTCACGCTGTATATAGTCAGAGCCTCCTGTTTGGACAAATTGGGCTCTCACTATGTCTGCATATACCCTTGCTAATAACAAGGGAACAGTTTGAGCCTTGACAATGGCAAAGGTCCCATCATTAAAATGACAGATGACGCTATACACCCTGATATTTACCATCACACACACAAATCCTCCTTTATACACATTGAGACCGCTCTCATTACATACAAAACAGGTCACTCAACACACATTCTTTCCTTGTCTGTTGTCCTTCTTACTATCTCTTTGATGCAAGCCGTAATGTGCAGATGTGCATCATTTACCCATCTGAAACACAGAGCCATTCTGCTGTAGCAGTTTGGTTACATTTACTGTGAAGTTTGCACATAATGTCACTATGTGAAGAATTTTCCAAGGATGCAACTTGTTTTTTATACAGATCAGACGTTTTCGCTGACTTACATTTTGTATTTGTTACAGTGGGTGAATAATTTGGAGATCGACAGTAGATATAACTCATGGCCATCAAGCGTTCAGGAACTGCTCCGTCCCACATTTCCTGGAGTAATTCGACAGATCCGCAAAAACTTTCACAACTTTGTAAGTAGAAATGCTATTTAAATGGATAAATGGAGGATGTTTCTTTCTGCTTTGTTTATAGAAATCTCTTTGTACACCTTCCAATAATAAACAAATATGTCTACTAATATAAAATGAATACACTGGAAATGTATGTTTGTCATTCAATATATATGTAGTGTCTCTGGAATGTGCCTTCTATCATGCAATAACATATCTACATGCATGCCATGATAAAGACCTTATGTCTGGTCTGGTTTCAATTTGTGTGGGCAATTTTTCTTTGATTTAGCCTAAATAAGAAATAGAACTTGGAGCTTAGCATGTTAAGGTGGTTGTATTCTGAAAGGAACATTCAATAGATGATTTAAGAGTTAATTGTAGTAAAGTTGGGGGACCTCTGTTCAATGTTAATACTTTCAGAGCAGATAAACACTGAATAAGGGTGTGTGGCCACCCACAGCCCAGCCCCCATTGGATTTATAAAAGAGGCAGAGATTATTCACTTCCTTAGTCATACCCATTCATACCAGGAATGTGTAGCTACGATAGGCTGAATGCAGTCAGCTGACACTCGCCACCAAACACAGCCAGCCATTGTTGCTCAGGCTAATGCTTCATTAGCCCGAGCTGTGTAGAGTGGATGGGCTGCTGTTTTGCTTGCTTTTTTTTTTTTTTTTAAATTTATTTATTTTTGTTCTAATGCTTTTTTTCTTTTCATTTAGGTTATCATTGTTGATCCTGTACATGAATCCACACCGGAGTTAATAAATGTAGCTGAAATGTTTCTTAGCAATCATATTCCTATCAGGTAAACCTGCTTGTTATTTGCTTCATTATAATAAAACTCGATAGGGTTATTTTTCTTTGTGGTTTTTGTTTTGTTGGTTTTGCTTTCTTTCAGCTTTTTCTTTGTATTGTGGTTACCTGGAGGACACATAATTAATGAATGGGAAGGGTCAAGTCAAGGTATTTTAGCTTACCGCGGAAAGGGTTCAGCATGTGTGGGCTACAGTGAAGTGGAAAACAACCAAATAATTCATTTGGAATAGCTTTAGTGATTTATAGATCTCATTTTTAGAATTTAGTTAATATTGATCCATCTTTTTGCACTTAAAATGTGACTTATTAATTTGCATACATTTTGCATACATACTCTGTTTATTGTACAACCTGAGGCTACCGAATAGTCTGTTTGTTGCATCTCAAAAGCACGCACACTTGAAACAAGACAGATCAACGTCTTCTTGGATATTATTAATTTGTTGGTAAATAAACCTTTATTTATTATTGGAGAGTAATTAAAAAGAGGATATCACACAAAAAGGCATTTTGAAAATCAGTTCATTTTATGCAGCATTCTGTTAGCAAATTATGCATAAAATGAGACCCCCATGTACATCTTAAAACAGGTTTTGTTTAAATACAGGCTTGGCTTGGTGTTTGTTGTGAATGACTCTGAAGAAGTGGATGGTTTACAAGATGCTGGAGTAGCCCTAATAAGAGCTTTCAACTATGTGGCTGATGAAATTGACAATTATCAAGCGTTCCAGACAGTCATCTCGGTAAGGACCCTAACTACAAAATTAGGACAGGTTTATCCTTGGACATTCTAGGCCAATGATGGCTGAACTTGGCATCCCTGATGTTTGGGAGTCCTATTTGAAGACTTAATGTAGAGGCAAGATTTTTAAGACAAAAAGTCATGTCTTTTTTGGATCCATTTTTAATCTATCCCCAGCCTGTCTTCTTTTTTTATACCATGTCTCAGCTTAAAAATAATAAACAAAGCCATTTCATACTAACCATACTTTAATGACAGTGCAAATATAAATAGTTGTGGAAATAAAAAGCTTACATGCCAAGTGCTCTAGAGATGGCCTTTGTAACTGCACCTCACTAAGTTTTAAGTCTTCTCAGTTGCTGCCTAATGTCTGTCTTAGCCAATGAGCCATGTTCTTTAGAAGTGTCTTTTTGATTTTCTAGAAGTGTCGTTTTAAGAAGTACTTAATCCACCAAGTTCAGCAGAGCAGAGTTTGCAAAATATTGGTCAGTAGAATATTTTTTTAACCCTTTTTCTCTGGACAGATCTACAACAAGGTTCGTGCTGGGGATAAGCTGATGGTGAAACACGTTACTGGCGTTCTAGAGGAGAAGTATCCCTACATTGAGATAAGCAGTATTTTGGGTCTGGACTCTGCATATGACCAGTTTAGAAAGGTATATGTTGTTTCTTTATTATGTTGATGGAATATTTGAAAATGCAGGCACATAAGTAGTTGTGGTTCCATACTGTCACTACACTTTAGAACAAGGATTTGTTACCGGATTGAATGTTTTTGAGTCCACATATTTCGATTTTTGCCTTTGGTTTAATCAATAAGTACATACTTTAAATATAACAAGCAATGGGAATAAAATGGTACGGAGATTGCATACCTTGCCCAATGTATACCTCTCTGCATATGGAATTACTCTGTGATTAAAATAGTTTGTATAGGTTTAATGTGTTCCATAGTGCATTCCATTCAGCTTAATAGAGTAATACTGAGAATAAAGAAATGTAAGGCACATACTGAATTGTATGGTTCCCATTCAAAATATATTGCAGCATGTGGCTTATTTAAATAACAGAAAAATACTGAATCCTAGTATAGCTTTCTATAACACCAAATATGAGTACTCAGACTTCTAAGGCAATAGGGTTAAAGCAGTAATGGATGGGGTCCCCTTCTCACATCTCTATATTTCAATATATTATTTATTTATTTTATGTAAGATATGCGACTCCAGTGTGTGCCTGTGTTGGCTGACGATAATACAGAAACTCAGCAGTTGTTTTGTCTTTAGTCACCTAAACTATTCACCATACACTAGTTATTCAGCTCTTAATACAGCTTTAATTAAGCTCACAGGTGCTACTCAAGGCCTTATCCGTTTGGTAGAAATTAGTTTGAAACTCGCATTATTTGTAGTGCCAAGAGACCTTTACGCAGATCGTTCAGCTAAAAAAAAAAAGAAAATAGTATAAACACTGTGCGTTTCAAACAAGAAAAGAAACCGTTCAGACATTTTAAAGATAATTTTACATGTAAAGTTTTAACCTGCCTATGGTTTAACATATTATGATATGAACGAGATTTAACCCTTGTTAAAACACGCTTTTACTCAAAATTTAACAAAGCTTTTGATAAAAAAAAAATAATAAAAAAAATAAAATAAAAAAAAAATATATATAATAATAATACATGCTATTACGTTTAGCCTAATTGCAGGATTGTTCTTTTTATTTCAGGAAGGGAAGGAGTACTTTCTGCAGACAGGACTTTCCCCGCTACCAGTAGTATTGTTTAACGGAATGCCATTTCCTAAAGATCAGCTGGAACCTGATGAACTAGAGACGGCAACGATGCATAAAATTCTCGAGACCACTAGCTTTTTCCAAAAGGCTGTATATTTGGTGAGATTCACAATCATCTCCTCAGTAATGAGTTCACGTGTCATTATAGTAGCAATAGGCACATCATATTCATCCTTACTCCCAGTAACTGCACTCAATAAGCTCTTTACCAAACTGGTATCGCTATCACCAATGTAAAGGTCAAATTAAGGTGCTCTGAAAAAATGTATTTTATTGTTAATTGTGTTACATTTGAAGAACGGTTCACTGAGCTATTTTCCATATACATAATGGAAAGGTCACAGAGCCACACTACGTAATAACCGAGAATCCTGACCTTACATTGTCCTATATGAATTCATGTCTATAAATAACAATATATTGAACATGCTATGCTGTAGTTAAGTGGGGAGGCTGGTCTTTAGAGTGTCGAATAAATCAGTATAACTTATATTGAATTGTGAGACTTAGAAACCTAGAATGTGACGGCAGATAAGAACCATTCGGCCCATCTAGTCTGCCCATTTTTTTTTTTTGACAGTCTTTATTTATCCATTTTTTTTTCCCAAGTAAAGTTGGGGGTTACAGAAGAGAATAAGGGGAGTAAAGTCAAACAGTTGTATAGGGTTTACAATAGCAGTAGCGAACCTTCGCAATCACATAGCATAGTATATTCTTGTGTTTAAGTTTGATGTGGTAGTCAGGAACTGGGAGGTATGTAGTCTGCCCAGTTTTCTAAATACTTTCATTACTCCCTAGCCTTATCTTATAGTTAGGATAGCCTTATGCCTATCCCACGCATGCTTAAACTCCTTCACTGTGTTAACCTCTCTCCACTTTTCTTCTCCAAGAACATTGAAACATGGCACCAGATTAAAATACTTGCACAGAAAACCTTTAAGTGAAGTTGCCTGTGACAAAAAAAAGGAAACAGACTTTTTTTCTTACTGTTATCGACTCTAAATATTTCAATACATGCATTGATTTTCTGAAATGTGATCAGTACACATTGGAATCAACCAAAACACTAAATTATATATTTAAAGCAAATACTGCAGTATGAAAGTACCATTGATGGAGTAATTCCAGCATAATGAACTAGCCTTTTGATAGATTGTAAATGAAATTAGAATGCCCCACTCATGTAAAGGTAGCAGGTGTGAAAAACAATAAAATGATATTTGAAGGTCTCTTACCCTTTCAAAATGATGTATCAATATTCGTTCATTAGAATATAACACTTGAACAGTTTGAAGAAGAATCTAAGTTTATTAACACATGTATTATTAAAACAAACCGACTGATGGAAATAAAAAAATAAAAAAAAATATGTATATAATCAAACTAATGTTTAAGAAGTTAAAAAAAATAAGAAGTATGTAACATTTTAGATTTATTTTTGTTAACATTGGTATATCTATCTGAACCTTACTAAGTGAGTTGTTTCTTAAAACCTAAAGTTGACTAATGGAATAAAATTGCTGCCTCTTTCACTGATTTTGAATGGCTGTTGTAAGCTACAGTTTTCCTGAGGAGAGGTACATTCCTTTCACTTTAGTATTTAAATAGTAAAGTGTGTTTTAAGGGGATGCCTATCCGGTGGGATTTAATCTCTACATATTGCTAATGTTACTGTAATAATCATCCTGATTGTATATCTTACCTTGGACAGGGGGAAGTAACAAATGAGCATGATGTTGTTGATCATGTCATGAGTCAGCCCAATGTTGTTTCCAGAATTAACATGCGAATTCTGGAACCAGAGCGACAGTACCTGGATTTTACAGCTATTAGTAAGTTCCTTATTCTTTGTCGTCATTGGTTCATAGAAGGAATCTTCAAGTCTCCTGAATATGTTTGAAATTACTGTACTATCTCTTCCACTTTATATTTACCTTGTTGGATCCCTTCTGGTGTAAGGCTGGGGTGTTAAACTGCTAGTATTTCGTCTGACGTGTCCGACTTAGACCATACCTCATCCTATTGTAGGCATGTTTTTTACCCTTACCGATTTAATTTAACTTGTATCTTGCTTTTATTGAGAAGCCACAATACACATATTGGTCCTTGTAGGGTTAGGTTTTCTTTTTTATTGAATTTGTGTGTCTTGCTTCCATGCAGATAACTATTTTGTGGATGATTATGCCAGATTCAGTGTTTTGGATTCCAGTGCCAAGACTGCAGCAGTAGCCAACAGTATGAACTACCTGACAAAGAAAGGTATGGGTATCCAAAGAGCAACTATATTCAGCTACTACTGTGATCATCGTGCAAGTAAAAATGTTTTCTCCCTTGTAATGTTTTTTGACACTCCCTGAGTTTGCAGGAACTGAGTTCCTGTTGTTTTCAGTTAAGTAATAGTCAACCCAGTGAAATCTTTACCATTGTATTAGAGACCTATCACTGGAAATTGTTGGGGGGAGGGGTAGAAAGATTTTTTGAAAATTTTTTTTTTTAAATGAGATGTTCTTTTGTAAAGAATACAGGAAGATGGATATTTTAGAAAATATTGATTTTGTGGCAACACATAGACCTTCTGAAATGGCTGCTCCCAAAGCAAACGCTATAGTTAGTGTCATTTATTGTTCTGCAGAGCGCTATGTGTATTAAGTTGCAGATATGTCACTCCATTCTGATGCTCATGTACTGGCAGTCAAGGGCAGCAAAGCCACGCAGACAGCTTAACTTCAATAAGGTTGTCTGGGTGCAGTGGTCCTGTCACTTTAACCCTTCCATGATTACAGGTACATTCTGTTTTGAGATATGTAGAGAGGGATCTCTTAAAGGATTTTGGGCCTGGGAAAGAGTTGTGTCCGGGAGGTTATTCCATAGCTGTAGGAAAATGAGGATCAAGCTGCTTTCTTTTTGTATTGTGGTATACTAAATAAAGTGCTGGAACTGGATCAGAGGTTTAAATTACAAATGCTGCTCATTATTTATTTTTTTTAGAAGGTAGCTGCACTGCAAGCACAGGAGCTTACTGCCGCTGTAACCCCATGACATGTCAGATGTGCCACTGATCATTGTTTTTTTTGTTTTTTTAAATGTGCCTTACACATCATTATTCCCTAAGAGATTAATTAGCGTTACCAATTCGAAAAAACTTGAAGATGCTATTTAGACCACCTGAGGTCTTGTGTTGATCATATAAGTCTGTATTGTGAAGCTCTAAGATCTAAGCTGTGCACAACATGTATTCTCAAGTTATGCATAATTTTTCATTATTATTATTATATATTTTTTTTTGTCATTTACTTATTTATTTATTGAGGTAAACGCATGATAGTCATGTTAGATGTTAGACATAAAATATCAAAAAGCAACTATGGACAGCATATATAAATACAGAGAAGCTATACTTCATTTTATGTTAGGGAAAAAATAAAGAACATAATAATCGCATTAATTAGAAACATATCTTGGTTATGTGGTAGCAGTCCAGTGTCCCAGTTAAAGAAGAGTAACATTGCAGGATGCTTTCGGGAGAGTCCCTGTCATGGATTAACCTTTACCCTCCGTGGGCAGTATAAAACTATAGATTATGACAGTCAGCCAGGTGGTCGTACGCCCAGGTGTATGCGCAGACCAAGACAGAAAGAGCCATAGCTGCACTTTGCAAACTACAGTTGTCGAGTGTTTTTGACCTCTGCTGTCCAGTATATAGGCAGCAGCTCGGCTAGGTCCGGATTCCCGCTTGTAGGCAAGACAGGAAATCCCGGGGCCCCCAGGTTTGTGGAGAGGTATGGTCCCCCCTTGGGTGTGCCCACTCCTGGGGCAAGAGTCTCTCAGTGGGAGACTCTGAGGTAAGGTCAGTATCTTTTTCGCTGTTGCAGGGGACTGCAATCGACAACTGAGCTTGGACCAGAATTTTTCAAATAAATGATCAAGTTTGTCCAGAGTAGTAGATTGCTGGCTCTGGTTGTTGTGTAGCGAAGCAACCTCTGCCATAATATATATGACAAGGCATACTCAGATTGTTTTTCGAGCCATGCAGCCAGCCACAATAATGTGACACTTGCTAGCATAATCCTTACCCTCGAGGGGGTGTGAGAGATAGCAGGTATCCAGACACAGACTACTGATTGTAGATAGGTAATGGGTGAATGGATCAGGTGCTTTCCTCTCACTTGTAGGTCGTAGATCTGCTCCTTAAAATCCCTCTATTATCACCAGAGCTGCTTGTTAGTAATATAGTTCGGTGCAGTCGGGTCTTATAAGTAGCTTAAAGTCAGATAAATGCATGCACTGCAGGCAAAAAGTGAGATCAATAAGTGAGACCATTTCTTGCAGTGCTCTCATTAAGTGTGTCTGAACAGCACGGCAGCCAGGCCCGCCCTGTTGTTGTTATAATTATTATTATTATTGTTTCAAGGCTTTATTAAGTCAAAAATCTGTAATCACAGTAATACAACGGTGTAGTAAAAGCAAATGTGAGACTCACAGGTCTCGTAGCAGTGTGATAGTATTGCAATGAAATAGACTGTATGCAATAGACTGTAATTCAGTAATAACTAAGAAGAATGCAACCATTGAACTGGTAGGTTTTGAAGCTTAGTATATGTACTAAAATTCGATATGAGTGACATGCATCCCCCTCAAGCACCAACCCGTGTGGAATTCCCAGATTTTACTAGTAACATGACGTAAAGTCATGATTTTATTAAAGACACGGAGGCGAGTATTATGCATAACTCTTTCTTTATTTCCTCAGCAGCAAAGAAAGAGAAATATAAATATTATCAAAACTGAAGAAAAAACTGTATAGGCACAACAGGTAGCCAATCACAGGGTATAGGAAGTAGCTATATAAGTCTTGTGTCTCCCACAATCCCCCTCTTTCTTGCGAACCGAAGACCAGGTAAGATGAACGATGTCCCACTTGGTCGAAACAGGGTAACGGGAAACGATGCGACAATTTCAAGCTAAAAAAGATAGAGAAATATGGTAATTTCTTAATTCAGAACTGCAAACTTACCAAACATAGTCTTGGGGAGACACAGGTAAAACAGAGTACTGAAATATAAAAACAACAGAATTAGTATACAGCATAAAGGTACAACAACCCGTACAAAAAATGCAAATCAACTGATAGGATACAGACCAAACTGAAAAAACATACCTGTAGAGCCACCAAGCATCTCGTACCCCAACTCCACTCCGGGAGGGTGGGAGGGAATAATACTCGCCTCCGTGTCTTTAATAAAATCATGACTTTACGTCATGTTACTAGTAAAATCTGGGAATTTTATTAAAGACACGGAGGCTCATATTATGCAAGTTCAAAGCTGTGCCACCACACGAGATGCGATGTGCTCAATTGGTCTGAAATAGAAGGCTCGGAAGGTCGATTCCCGAGACCAATCCGCTGCTCGCATAATGTCCTCTAGGCGACATCCGACTGAAGAGGCTTTCGAAGCCATCGCGCCCCTTACAGAATGAGGCGTAAACACTGAGGTGTCTATACCCGCGGAGGATAGCAGGCAGCGCACCCAACGTGCTAGAGTAGGAGTCGAAACCGGCCGGTGAGGCGATTTAAAGGATATGAACAGATCGTGCAGGTCTGTCATGCGAAGGGGACGTGTAACATCCAGGTAGTCCTTGATGCAATCCACCGGGCAGAGCGCTGGACAGTCTGAAAACCTAGGGTATGTAAGTGACTTAGATGCAGACTTGGTCCTCCTGGAAATGTCAAAGGTGACGCCTTCTGGGGTGAGTGCAACGGCGTCCCAGTCCAGGGCCCGAACGTCAGAGACTCTTCTGCAAGAAATCAGGCACAGTAACATAACCAATTTGGCAGACAATTGCTTGAGAGTCAGCTCCAAATTGGGGTACCATGATGATAGGAACTGTAGCATCACGTTGACGTCCCAAAAGGCGGCAAAACGAGGTCGAGGAGGACGAGCAAGGCGAATACCTTTGAGAAGTCGACAGACAAAAGGATGCTTGCCGACCGGAGAACCGTCTAGACCTTCGTGACCGGCTGAGATAGCTGAACGGAAAAGGTTGATCGTGCGGTATGCCTTGCCCGAATCAAATAGGAACGTGAGGAACTCCAGAATCAAAGGCAGAGGGGCAGATACGGGATCCATTGCCCGTTCCATGCACCAACCAGACCATGATCTCCATGAATGTCGGTAAGCTGTCCGTGTACCCGGGGCCCAGGCGTTATCGAGGAGTCGGAGAGTTGACTGCGAAACGTCTGGGATAGCCCAAGGTCCCCTGAAAGGAACCATGCTATGAGGGGTAGCTGATGCTGCAACACCAGGTCGTGAGAGTTCCCATCCGGATCCAGAAGGAGGTCTTGGAATACCGGAAGTAAACAAGGGTAGTCTATGGACAGTTCCATCAGCCATGGGCGAGACCTCCATAGAGGGGTGATCAAAGCCATCCGACAATCGTGGCGGACCAGTTTCGAGATCGTGCGTGCGATCATGTTGAATGGGGGAAAGGCGTACATCAGACCCGGTGGCCATTCCTGGAGGAAGGCATCTGTCGCTATTGCAGCCGGGTCCGGCCTCCAACTGTAGAACCTCGGTAGCTGAGTGTTCAGGCGTGACGCGAATAGGTCCAACTGGAACCGGCCCCACAACCTGTTCAGGCACTGGAACACTGAAGCATGTAGATGCCAGTCCCCGGAGTCCCGTAAGTGTCTGGAATTCCAATCCGCCCCCGAATTGTCCAGACCTGGGATGTGTTCCGCCGTCACCGAAACGTTGTTGTAGAGGCAGAACTGCCAAAAATCCTTTGCCAGAGTCGCCAACATTTTGGATTTCGTGCCCCCTAGGTGATTTATGTAACGAACTGCTGATACGTTGTCCATCTTGAGGAGAACGCAACAATTCGCCCTCCCCGGAGCAAGGCTGCGGATCGCGAAGGCACCTGCCAGAAGTTCCAAGCAGTTGATGTGTAACGACTTCTCTGTGTCGGACCACCTGCCTCCTGTGGAGACGTTGCCACAACGAGCGCCCCAGCCGTGTAAGCTGGCATCGGACTCTATCACCACGTCCGGGGCAGAACCGAAGATGGCTCTTCCGTTCCATGCCTCCATGTGCGCCAACCACCACGCTAGTTCGTCCCTGGACTCCTCGTCTAATGTTATCCGAGATTCGTATGAATGACCGGAGCGAAGTCGTGATCCCTTGAGCCGTTGGAGCGCTCGGTAATGCAGGGGGCCTGGGAAGATTGCTTGAATAGAGGCCGCGAGAAGGCCGATAATTCTCGCCAGTTGTCTGACCGACAAATCTGGAACACGGAGGGCCCTCCGAATTTCCTTCTGGATGGCTTTCACCTTGGCATCCGGGAGGAACAGGAACTGCTGGATGGAATCCACTTGAAAACCCAGAAACTCTATGGACTGGGCAGGGACCAGGACCGACTTGCTCCAATTGATCAGAAATCCCAACTTCTGCAGAAGGTCGGTCGTCCATCCCAGGTGTGTGAGGAGATCCTCTCGTGACTGGGATAAAATCAAGATATCGTCCAGGTAGATAATGAGGCGAACCCCCCGGGTTCGGAGGAATGTCACCACGGGCTTCATGAGCTTGGTGAAGCACCAAGGAGGAGAGACCGAAAGGCAGGCAGGTGAAGCGCCAACGACGCCCATGCCAGGTGAAGTGGAGATAATCCCGGAACTCCAAAGCGATGGGGACCGTAAAGTATGCGTCCTTCAGGTGTAGCTTGGCCAACCAGTCCGATTGACGTAGGAGATCTCTGAGGCAGTGTATACCTTCCATCTGGAAGTGTTGGTAGCGTAGAAAAGCGTTGAGTGGGCGAAGATTTATGACAGGGCGAACTCCGCCTCCTTTCTTGGGCACTAGGAATAAATTGCTCGTAAAGCCTGGGGCGGCGAACGGCAACTCCTCTATAGCGCCCTTGGACAGCATCTCCACCACTTCCGTGGAAATCATCTCGTCCTGCTCCTGAGGGAGGGACAGTTCTCTGGGGGAATAAAACTGGACAGGCATGGAAACAAACTCCAGACGAAAACCCCTTACACATTGTAAAACCCAAGCATCTGAGGTGATCTTTGCCCATTCTTGACAAAATAAGGCCAGTCTCCCCGCCACCCGAACTTGAGCGTGAGGGAAAGAAAGGGTACTCACCGTAAGGACGTCTGCCAGGGGTACCACCGCGGGGGTATCTGGATCCCCAGGCCTGACCTCTTGCCGGGAAGAAGGGAGGGGCCCACTGTTCCTGAAATCCTCTCGAGGGAAAGAAGGAACCTCTGGTTGCGCGGAATGCGCCTCGGAAACCACGGCCGGGTGGACGGTTCCTGCTACGCCCGGCCCCTCCGAAAACCTTAGGCGCGAACACGCGCTTCATGTTAGCCTGTGCCTTGTCAATAAAGGTCTTGACATGCCGTAAAGGTCTTGACATAAGCACCCATATCCTTAACGAAGGACGTGCCAAACAGGAGACCCTCCTCAGTTGGATCAGGCTCCGCCACAGTCATAGCGGCCAATTTAGGGTCGATCTTCAGGAGGATCGCCTTGCGTCTTTCTGTAGACATGGCCGTATTGGCGTTCCCCAGTAAGCAAATAGCTCTTTGGACCCAACCAATGGCCACATCCACGTCCAGGACGGAGTCCCCGGTCCTGGCAGCATCCAAAAGCTCGTAAAGCTTGGAAAGGGGGCCTAGGGTATCCAGGATCTTGTCCTGGCAGCTTTTAAGGGAGTGGTCAAGGCCCTTCTTGGGCTTCCATCCTGACTTATTCAGGAATTGAGCAATTTGCGGGTCAATGTCCGGGGTTTTGCAAGCCGCGCCCGGGAGGGACGGGCGTGGGCACTCGGCGCGCAATTTATTGCGGCCTTCCCTAGAAAGTGGCGTGCGGATACGCTTAGCCACATATTGGGCGATGTGATCTGGGGGAACCCACTCGGCGGACCGAGGATGACGTAGGTCGTCTGGGTCAAACAGGGGGTTGCCCTGCGGGTCAAGGATCGAGGTGTCACCCCCCGGGGGAGCAAGTGAGGGGCCCCGGGTATTGGCGGAGGACCCGGAGGGGTTCACGCCCGTAAGGGGCAAATCCTCGCCAGAATCATCATGATCAAAGGAGTCGTACTCCATAGCGTCGGACTCATCCTCCACACTCCGGTCGGTATCCGACCCAATATCATGGGCTCTAGCCCTTTTCCATAGTCTAGCCTTTTTAGCCCGGCCAGGGGCTCTTTTGCGCGTGGGGTGCGCGCTATCTGAGACCGCCTCAGGCGTGTCAGTCATGGCAGGTAAAACCTGCATCGAGGAGTGGGAGCCGACATGTTTGGACTTAGCCTTTGCCTTACGGGCTCCAGGCACAGTTTGAGCAGGGGAGAGGGCAGGGGTGGCCATGGCAGGTAAAATCAGAGAGTGCAGGGACTGGGAAAAATTTGAAGAGACAGCACCCATGGCTGAAGCCATAGTGGCCTCTAACATGGCTTGAAACTCTTGGGAGGCCATGGCACCATCAGTACTATCTAATTGGAAGTCCCCTGGGGGACCAACAGGCCCATCACCCCTATCCTGCATGGTAGTGACAGTGACAGAATAGACAGTGAGAATTTAAATAGTAAAATAATAATGCAATGGAAATTATATAGGGACCAAACTGACTACAAACAAAGCAGGCTGAATAACACCAGGGTGTTAGCTGGGAGAGAGAGGGAAGGGTTGATTAACCCACAAGGAAAACTGAAAAACAAACGTTTTGGCTGGTGTCCCCAGGGAGCAGGGCTACGAGGTGGCCGGACGCACGGCAGCACTGGGAGGAATACAAAAGACCGCCCCCAAAATGGCCGCCGCACGAGGGAGGCACACGAGGAAACACTCGGCGGGGGAAGGGGCTCGTGCACCCGCCCGCCGAGCCGACACGCTATCTGGAGTGAGGGGGGAGGAGAGAAGCGTGTACACCGCCGCGGTCGCGAGGAGATCGCGGCCGCGGCACAGCAGGTCGGGTCCCGTGCAGAAGCACGGGTAGGAGAGCGGAGGGGGGGGTGGGGACCGCCCGGACGGGGCAGTGACACACCCGCGGGCCCAGAGGGGAGACACCAACCGAGGGAAACAAAAAATCAGAACATCAAAACCAATTCAAATAATAATAAAACAAATAACAGTAAAACAAACAGCATGAAAATCATAAAAGGAAACACACTGTAATACAAATTAAAATGGAATCACAATGCAAGCCAGAGATCAGAGAAACACTTATCTGTCTGAGGAAGCAGCAAAGAAAGAGGGGGATTGTGGGAGACACAAGACTTATATAGCTACTTCCTATACCCTGTGATTGGCTACCTGTTGTGCCTATACAGTTTTTTCTTCAGTTTTGATAATATTTATATTTCTCTTTCTTTGCTGCTGAGGAAATAAAGAAAGAGTTATGCATAATATGAGCCTCCGTGTCTTTAATAAAATTCGGTTACAAAGTGTTCCACCAGCATCCCTCAGTGGTCGGCCTGACCCGGTCAGGTAGGGTCCCCAAGGTTTCTCACTGCTCAGCTGATTGGTTAGCTGCCTGAGTGTTTTAGTGTGGGTGACCAATCCTAGGGTTTCCGGAGAGTGTAACAAATTCTCGGTGTGTGGCATAGGCTGTAGTCAGGGGTGATGTAAATGCTTTTGTGTGCCCCTCCTTAATTATTATTATTGTGTTTTTTTATTATTGTATCTGTGTATGTTTATAAAGTCTTGTCCTTTTCTTACCTTAATGCATTTTTTCTTTCTTTTTCTGCATCTCTGCCTTTCTTTCATCTCCAGGAATGTCCTCCAGGGAGATTTATGGTAATCTGAATTATGACACTTTAGCCACTAATAATAGTTTTCTGCCTGTTAATCTGCATGTAGCAGTTCCTGCTCCCATCCATAATCCAAACCGGTATGGCCAGTGCAGGGGTAATTCAGGTGGAAGGGGTAGTTCTTTAATGTCTCCCAATGTCACCCCTAATTTAAAGCTGCCTCTCATGTTGCAGCAGACCGTAAATATACAATATCCAATGCATTTTATTCCATCAAATGCGGATTCATAGCAATGCTTTTACAAAGAGAACTATCTAATTTATTGCATATTTTGAAATGTTGCACTTAGAGAGAGTACACTGCGTTTTTGTGAAAGAAAATTTTTTTTGCTTTAAACTTATTAGGTAATAAGACCATGATTAGCTCCAAGCAGAAGACTAAAATGACTGTTCTATATACACAAATCAGCAGATTTTAGTCAAACATAATTTTGCTTCCGCTCTGGTTCAGTGGTAATAGATGTATGTATGCCCACCAATGAAGATTACGTGGGAGAACAGGCATGAATGTGTTGCAAAAAACCCCAGAGAATATGAGAACTTGCCTTTGATTAGTCTCCACTCAGGTTGCGAAAATGGTTTTTTAGAACCTATACAATTTGCATATCAGACTCATCCCACCTATAAGGGCAATCCAGAACCAAAATGCCGGCAAATTATCTCTACACGAGACATACGGCAACACCGTTGCGGAAAAAAAAGAAAAATCTGGTTTTGTTGCAATGTGTTGGCTTAGGCCAGGAGTAGTCAACCTTTTAATACCTACCGCCCACTTTTGTATCTTTGTTGATGGTAAAATTTCCTAACTTCCCACCAGTGCCGCAGTAACAAATTATTATTTTTTTAATATAATTTGTATTTTGAAATAAAAACAGTATCAGCGCTTAGTTAATATACCCCTATTTTTTGTATAGGGGTCAACAACGAAAATATATTAAATAAAGAGTCCCGGTTGCAATCTTCATGGGGTGCTTTCAAATGTCCGCAGGGATTTGATAGTTGTAACAGTAATTGATGTAAAAAGACTTTGTCTTTATATGTATCCAACCTTTAATCAAAAAGATACTGACATAAGGTTCACAATAAAAGCGTAGAAATGCAGAATATTGGTTGGTGAATATAGAGTTACCGCTCAGTGGATGTTAATTCCAGACCGGCCCTGTGCACTCGGATCGATAGGTATCTTGAGAAAGCTTGTTTGAATGAGCGAAACGCGTAGATCGTGTTTCTGGCAGGATTTTTGAATTTGGAGAGACTGCAGCAATACTGGTTAGTTGGCGTCTCAGTGAGGATCGATCCGAGTGCACAGGACCGGTCTGGAATTAACATCCACTGAGCGGTAACTCTATATTCACCAACCAATATTCTGCATTTCTATGCTTTTATTGTGAACCTTAGAAATAAGTTTCACCACTTTTTATTGTAAGAGTTCCTCTTATGGGGGGATTACCGTATGGGAAATAAAGTATTGTAACTGTATCACGCTATGTCAGTATCTTTTTGATTAAAGGTTGGATACATATAAAGACAAAGTCTTTTTACATCAATTACTGTTACAACTATCAAATCCCTGCGGACATTTGAAAGCACCCCATGAAGATTGCAACCGGGACTCTTTATTTAATATATTTTCGTTGTTGACCCCTATACAAAAAATAGGGGTATATTAACTAAGCGCTGATACTGTTTTTATTTCAATTTATGCCGTGTATGATGTTTTAAAACTTGGGAAGGTTTTTAGTGTATCTGGCAGCTTTGTATATCAACTTTTTCTTGTGGATAATTATAATTTGAAGCACCCGCTTAGAAAATCCACTATTTTACTGATTTTCTTTTGCACTCTCTATAAACCTGTTTTTTTCATAATTTGTATTTTATTGGAGTTTGTACACACAGTATATACTTTTCCATTATATGAGTCATAAAAGGAACTAAGTTACAATGCATTGGGTTTACAAACAATGCAACAATCATGGCATCAGTAGAATGGAGTTAAACTAAAAGAGCATTGGAAGGCACCAAGTTGCTTGTATTTACACGGAAAACCCGACTCAGTGAGGTTACGAAACAATGATATCCTCTGCTGAACTGTTCTAAGTATGTAAGGTCAGTTTAGGTGAGTAGGGCAGTTGGAATGGAGGATTGAATTAAACGTAAGAAGAAGCACATAAAAAGCAAGATAAGAAACATAAAAACAAAAGGTTGAATGCGGGTTAGTGATAGCGACTCAAAGGATCAACGACATCCATCATCAGGGTGCTGCAGTCAAGGTGTCCACCTAGGCAGTGGCTTCTCAGTTAGCTTGCTGTGCGTGTTGGGTCATTTCCTCTTTGGCGTTTTCCGTAGGGCTTTGTGGGTCGACCCTGGGAGTATGGTCGAGGCTAGCATGTCCAAGCACTTGAGGAATGTCTCTGGTTCTTCTTCGGAGCACAGAGTGAGTACGTCGGTACCCTATTGCACCATAAGTTAGCCTTCTGTGCTCCAATGGTAACGAACGGAGTGCTCTCTCAGTCTCCTAGCAACCGGTGACAGTTGTCTCCTTCCGGTAAGGACAGAAAATGGAAGGTCACTACATATGGCTACTTTGCATCCCTCAAAGTTCACAGACCCCAGTGGTCTGGAACTAGCCATAATGGCGGCTCTCGATGCTACGGTAGTAGCTATGGTGTCTCCGGGGGCACCTGTGACTTGTGCACCCGGTAGGTGGATAAAATAAGTGGGGTGTCTGAGTTACGCTTGAGGCCCATGGAGGAAGTAAGCCTCCGAATGAAGGGCAAAAGGTCTTCTCCGCCCACTTTTAGGAATACCCCTGAGGCGTATGTTGCGGCGCGCAATCTTGTAGGGCCGCAGCGATGTAGGCCTCTGAAATGCAAGTCTGATGTCGGTTGCCGCGGGACGATCCATATGGATTTGCTTTCTATGTTTGCGTCCTATCTTGTCAGGTGGCAGGTAAGCTGTGTGGTTCTGGAGCAAATTTCTCTGTATAGACACTCTTAATCTGTGGGGCCAAAGCAGAGCTCCACAGATATGCGACTGCTCAGCTTCATAGTCAGCCATGCCCTCCCCCCCCACTGCAGTAACAAATATAATAGTGCAGATGTGATTTTTTTTTTTTTATAATTTTTATAAGAAAGGAGGGTTTTTTTTTAAATATGTACTTAAATGTATCTATTTTTTTTTCTATGTGGGTGAGGAGTGCTGTGCGTATGCGAAGGGTTCTGTGTGCGTGTGAGGGGTGTTGTATGTGAAGGGTGCATATGGTCTATAATGTGTGTAGGTGGGTGAGATGTGAAAATCTATCTTAATGTCTACCCCTCCCTTCCTCTTACCTTTCACCAGGGAGGGTGGACAAATTGCTGCAAGTTCTGGTGGTCCAGTGATGGCATGTTCATTTTAGCCTGCAGCTCCTCTGGCTGCAGGCTGACTCTCTTGTCCTCCTGCGAGCACAGCACTGTATCGGTGGGGGGGGGGTGTTGCTATGGTAACGCGCCAACCAGCCATCTCGTGGGAGGAACACAGAACACCCCCTTCCCTCCCTCTGCTGGAACTAAGTGCCCACCCCTCCGGTGAGGGAGATCTTTGATCTATTCACCAGCCCGAGAGGGCTTACAGCAAGGCTGGCTCTGTATGGACCGGCAGGGGAGATGAAAGGATCTCCCCTGCCGGCCTTGGTCCACGGCCATCGATGCCCACTGGACGTTTTCTGCAAAACCCACCAGCGCCCACCTGAAATCCCAAACCACCCACTAGTGCGCGGCAGGGACCAGGTTGAATACCCCTGGCTTAGGCTCTTTCTAAGTTAAAAGGGTAATCTAGACATGGACCCCGTGCTCACAGTGCTTAGAGGGGTATCAGCTACACCTCGCTGATGAAGCTCATAGAAGGCTGAAACGGTTGTCCTGCCCTCTTTGCCATATCTCTTGTGCAGAGAGATCTTGCCAGCATTTTGATTCTGTGCTGCCCTTATGGATGGGATAAGTTTGATATGAAAATGGTAAAGAATCTCTTTGTAATGGCACAAGTGAGCAAAAACTATTTTGAGACCGGAGCTGGGACTAACAGAAGGGCAAGCTATTGAGCTTATTTAAGCTTTTGTCTGTTTTTAGAGTTCTCATATGCTCTGTTTTTGATGAATAATATGTTATCTGATGTTTATTTAACCACAGTACCAGTTATGTTATATTTTTCCTCTCTGTCAGTAATATATCTGAGTTCTCCTATTATGCCAGTTCTGTTCTATCCTACCTCTCTAACCTGTTCTATTGTGAGAATTCTGTAACTACTATCTCTGTATGTGCCATTTGTTCGATTCCGCACCTCTATGTGCCTATCTCGGCATGCCAGTTCGGTTCCACACTATCATTTTAACAATTGTATTTTCACGTATCTTGCTACTTCAATTTCTCTACCCATGTGCCAAGTATAGTGTAGCTCCCCTTTGTAATTCAATTGTAACAAATCTCTTCAGTAGAATACCATATCTAACAATCTAACAGGAATAACATTTATTATGTATGATTATGCCACACAGCTATGCCAGCTGTAACACGTTATGAGAATGTCAAACAAGATTAGACATATTCCTTGTTTTCCCTCCAACAATTTTAATAATAATGAATTTTTTTTTTGGTGACAGACGATTCTTTTGTGAGACCAGTCACATTCTGGATTGTGGGTGATTTTGATAAGCCATCAGGACGTCAGCTTTTATATGATGCAATTAAACATCAGGTAATTTCTCATCCCCTGCTAATGCCATTTGAATGGATCATTTCAATATTGAATGAATATAGCTTTATAATAAAATCAGAATGCTTTCTAAGATCACATTGATATATGAGGCCATTAAATGAATGCCTGAATGCATTTTAATTTGGTCTCTCGTTCTTGTGTTTTTGTTTCATCCTTTGAAACAGAATATATTTAATTAGGCAATACATTTTCTGTGCTATGTTACTTGATTACATTTGCTTCCTTTTATTAGTAATTATTACTTGCATGTATATGAGTCCAGCCATGAAACCATGTGAATTTCTTTGTGTTGCTACCTTCAGACTATTTCCTGTTTTAAACTCGGATCTTGATTAACTGGCAACGAGAGCATAAAGCTTTAATTTACTCAATTAACAAATGCAACTATTCACATTGAAGCCATTATTCTCAGTGTAAAAGATCTACATTTCTCAAAGTTCTTACATTATTATAGCATACCGGTTCCTACTATATTATCACCTAGTAATTACACATTATTGAAGTGTTGGGCTCCTAGATTTGTAGCAAAGAATATCTGTATCATTATTAAAATGATTTAAACGATTAAAATGCTGGATATCTGCATCATTGTGGTAAAACATATCACAGGATGAGCCCATTATTATAGTACACAATTCCTTTATTATTTTACAATATTAGAAAGAAATGTATTCTCTTAGATTAACAAGCTTTTGCTTGTAGCCACTACCAAAGCGACCTGAAAATCCACTCCTTTAGGACTTTGTCAAAGAGACATCTCTCTCTGTAATTGTTAACCTGATATTTTAGAGCTGGAGAGGGTATCCCAGCATCCCCATATTATTCTAGAATGTGTGTTTGATGGATTCTGCTACAAATAAGAGAGTTGCCTAGTGCAATATCAGCAGGTCTAGTTTATACATCATGCATTGTGTACTCTACATGGTCATAAATATTTTTATGCATTGGATATAGTTGTTGTATTTTCAGTGATTTTATCTAATAATTGTTTTCTTTCCTGGCCAATGCATTTAACTATTTAGAAATCCAGCAACAATGTAAGGATTGGGATGATCAATAACCCCAGCCAGGATCCATCTTTTGAGACCACTCATATCGGAAGGGCCATCTGGGCTGCTCTCCAGACTCAAAGCTCCAATAATGCCAAGAACTTCATTACCAAGATTATTAAAGAAGAAAATGCCAAAGCTCTCGAAGCGGGACTGGACATAGCGGAATTAGCTGTAGGGGTATGTGTGTGAAATTTTATATTTTCCATACTTTGCTCTGCTTTCTGATATAATTCAATTCATGTACTGCTGTTTTCTTAGGCAATTAAACATTTTAAGTGAACTTGTTACTTTTGGGAATAAGTATTTTTGAGAGCAATAAAACTCATAATGATGTTTGTTGTACCATTTGTTACTAAAATAAAAAGAACAGTTTCCTTTTGATTTTCCACATCTCATTTTAGTACAAAATTTACTATATACATATAACGTATGTTTTAACTCTAGCAAAATATTTTTAGATTTATAAAGGAGTTAAAGTATGTTATAATCCGTAATAAAACACTTACAGAAAAAAACACCATTGTACCATCTCAAGAAGAAATGAAATGCTATAAATACGTATGTAATCTGTCCGATATATTGTTAGATGAATATTTGCTGACCCTTGTAATGACTGTTTTTATTTTCTCATGTTTTAGGGTATGGATGTCAGCCTGTTCCGAGAAGCATATGAGTCTCCCAAAGTTGATTTCATATTATCTCATGCTGCATATTGTCGTGATATTTTAAAACTGAACAAGGGAGAAAGGGCCATTATTGGCAATGGTAGGGTGAGTACTGATTTTCATTAGGGTCTTACCTTGAAATATATTATTTATATAGATCTATTCAATCCATACCAAGGTAAGGTAAGGGGACTTAGTAAACTAACATGCAACTTTTGACAGAGTGCCTCTAGTACTAGCACAATCGCACGTGGTCACTAAAAGTACAAATCTGTTTATTTGTCCACCTGTAACTGGAACATGCAGCATTTTATACTTGCTCATTTAAGTACTGAATTTTGAGCAGGATTTCTGTTACAGCCTTTTCACTACTAGTGGGCCTACCACTAGACTTCAGACATGTCCACAGTTGGGTCACGGCTGAATAGATTATCCTAGTCCACATTTTTTACAAGATAAAAAAAACGTCAAAGCATTATAACAACTACAGCTTAGTCTAATGACTAGAGTGCAAAAAAGCTATTTTTTTGTTTCCACTGTAACTTATTTCTTTTCCAGCTATATTTACGTGAAATTTAAACCTTTTGCATGTCTCTTACTAACCCACAGCCAGTTATCAGCTGGACGTAAATGTTAAGCTACTGCAGAAGTTAGTTCTTCATGGTACATAGAAAGGGGGAGGGGTAAGAATACAAGGATGTGTCACAAAATTTGTCAAACCGATCCGAAGACAAACCGTGTAACAAAAATAAAATAGCATCCTAACTCTATTTTGCACCATAATCATTGCACTAATCCTTAGTGAATATGGTGCTCAGAGTACCCTTTTATATTTTCTCTGATTTTAAGTTTTGACAACGGGCAGGGGGATTCCTCAATCTTTCCTCTTTGTTATATCTGTTATTGTTATCTAATAAATATATAGGTCTGATAAACAGAAAACATTTATAATTGCAGGTCCACATCAGATACTAGTTATTATAATAGGCCTTTAGTTAATAAACAATTCTTAATTTAATAATTTTAAATGGTTCATGTTTCCATTTAGTATATATAACCATGTATAAAATAACTTATTTTTATTTTTTTTACTTTAATACATATAGATTGTTGGACCATTAATTGACAGTGAAGTATTTAATCAGGAAGACTTCCACCTTCTGGAGAATCTGATTCTCAAAACCTCGGCACAGAAGATCAAATCGCACATCCAGCTTCTTGGAGTGGAAGAAGATCTGTGAGTGTAACTGTAGAAATTTCAGAAATTATTGGTACCAAATGTTTCCAAACATAGGTGTTTCAGAATTTATTTCAGAAAATACAGACCTGAAAGATGGTCCTCATATTAAAATCTATTAATATGTATGTCTTATTGCATCTAATGAACTTGCATGCAGATTGCTTGTTTGTATACCTAATTACGCCCAAAATATTTTGAGTATGATTTCCAATCCTAATTTTTCAGATTTTATGTTCTGATAATTCAACCAATAATGTGTATATTTTTTACATTTTTAACTTGTATGGTTTATATAAACGATGACTTAATATGGGGGTGTCATGTCAGGTTCCTAGATGTTGCATCCTAAAGGCAAAGCATTGTGTCAGTATATCTGCAACAGCTAAAGGTTGGCAAAGCATCCAGGCAGTCTTAGCTCTTTTTGCACATGCTAGTTTTAGTCTTTTGATGGCTGACATCTGACACTACTTTTCCTATACAATTGTGTATGAGCCTAATGGGGAACGCCTGCAAATTCCGTGCCAAAGATTAGCATCATTGCTCTGTTTTCTGTAATACAGCTTTCTCTAGACTTGTTTTGAGCTGTTTGAATTCTCAGTCTTACGGTTCCATTCAAATTCAACAATGTTTTGATAATGTAGTATGGAGCTATCTGATATAATTGTTAACCGGAAATAAAAGACTATTCTGTGAATAATCACAGTATCATACACATTGCATTTTTAGATCCCAATGTTCTCAAAAAAAATGTGTTATATTTTAACCTTGATTTCAAAATCTCTCCCGTTATCATGTTGTAGTGCTAGTGATTTGGTCATGAGAGTGGACTCTCTGCTGTCCTCCCAACCAAAAGGAGAAGGAAGAACAGAATACCAGTTACCTGAAGACCTGCACAGGTAACCTTGATATAATGGAATCGGAATGATCGGAGTATTCATTGTGTTAGTTTGTTCCGATTACTCTAATATGCTGCTGTATTCTGTTGCTCATGATTTGGTGCTTTAAATGAAGCTGTAAAAACAGAACCTGGTTTTGTGAAGAGATAAATTATATATTGAGTTTTTTTTTCCTTTAATGCTCTTTTTTGTTTTAATGTCTATTTGTTCATGAATATACATTTTTACGCTTTATTTTTGTTGCAGTTTTAGCTCATTATGTCATTCGTTGTCTCTCTTTCTCTCTGTCTAGTGCTGTTAAGATAAGACCCAAAGAAGGAGTGACCTATTTTGAAATTGTTGCTGTAGTGGACCCCGTTACGAAAGGAGCACAGAGACTGGCCCCACTCCTCTTGGTATGTCCAGTATTATAGAAGTATATTTCGCTCAGTCTGTTCTTGTATGCATTACCTGGCATGCATTATTCTGCACTAAAGGCCAAATGTCATTATCAATGAATCAAATACACAAAAAAGTGGAGCACCATACAAGTATTGTGGCAGGATGGCCAGGCTCTTGACAATAAACTTCAAATGCAAGCGTCAGGATAAAATAGTATTGGGGTTTTATTTGCACTTTTCACAAGGTACACAATGCTGTGCTTCACAGAAATAAATAAATCCTACTCCATCTCGGAGACTAACTAAACAATAGTTTTCCTATCTATCCAACAGGCAAATAAACCCAGTTCCCAGTTTTTCAACAGTATAACACAGCACTTTAAACATGTAGGCTTTTGCACAGCACCTTTTTTCCTTTAGAGTCTCAGTATTAACTGCCTCCTTTCTCCCAGCTGTTAGACTCCCTGACCTTTTAAAACACTCTAGTGCAGGTTATTTACATTCACCTCAAAGGGCTGACTTCATCATGCTTGGAATATAGAGCTTTTCAACCTGTTACTAACATAGAAAGCCTTTCTGATCCTGCCACAATATACATATACTTACCTGTGATATAATTCAACAGAAAGTTTATGGTAAATATAAAAAGAGAAAGGAAAATAATAGTGCAAAATTGTCTGTACACAATTGACGTTTGTACGTGATATGTATGTAAACATCAGTTGTATTCAGACAATATTGCACTATTACTTTCCTTTCTCGTTTTATATTTACCATAAACCTTCTGTTGAATTATAGCAGAGATAAGTGTATATATATATAAACTATAGATGTAAAAAATAGCTCAAATTTGTATCTTGTAATACCTTTTTTATTGGACTAACAGAATTTTTTTAATGACAAGCTTTTGGGAGAACCTCCCTTTCTCAAGTCTGAAGCATTTCTGAGCAAGACGACACATAGAATTCAAAGTTGAGTTGTGATACAGGGGTTAAAGCGACATGAGTGCAGATAAGACAGGTTTGATAGAACACCATTCTTGCAGAGGGTCGTAAATATCTTATATGAAGATCACAGAGTGAGGGGCGAGAGAGAGAAAATAAAACAAGTGAACAGTGCAGAAGATTGTGCTAGAAGGGGGGAGTATTAATATAAAGAATGCATGAATTCCCATCCAAGAGTTACAGGATATGCATGAAGGCCTATATCAAGCATACACAGACACACGTTCACACTCGCACTCATGTACATATACACAAGTAGTGCATATGTACAGGTATACACAAGAACATGCACACTATACACAAGTACATATAAATACAACAAAATGCCCAAATATATGTACATGAACACCTACACATACATCCACACACAAGCACCAATACATCTACCTACACATATAGCAATGTGCCTACACATACATAGACTCATATAGAAACATAGAATGTGACGGCAGATAAGAACCATTCGGCCCATCTAGTCTGCCCGATTTTCTAAATACTTTCATTAGTCCCTAGTCTTATCTTATAGTTAGGATAGCCTTATGCCTATCCCACGCATGCTTAAACTCCTTTACTGTGTTAACCTCTACCACTTCAGCTGGAAGGCTATTCCATGCATCCACTACCCTCTCAGTAAAGTAATACTTCCTGATATTATTTTTAAACCTATGTCCCTCGAATTTAAGACTATGTCCTCTTGTTGTGGTAGTTTTTCTTCTTTTAAATATAGTCTCCTCCTTTACTGTGTTGATTCCCTTTATATATTTAAATGTTTCTATCATATCCCCCCTGTCTCGTCTTTCCTCCAAGCTATACATGTTAAGATCCTTTAACCTTTCCTGGTAAGTTTTATCCCGCAATCCATGAACCAGTTTAGTAGCCCTTCTCTGAACCCTCCTCTAAGGTATCAATATCCTTCTGAAGATACGGTCTCCAGTACTGTGTACAATACTCCAAGTGAGGTCTCACCAGTGTTCGTACAATGGCATGAGCACTTCCCTCTTTCTACTGCTAATACCTCTCCTATACAACCAAGCATTCTGCTAGCATTTCCTGCTGCTCTATTACATTGTCTGCCTACCTTTAAGTCATCAGAAATAATCACCCCTAAATCCCTTTCCTCAGATGTTGAGGTTAGGACTCTATCAAATATTCTGTACTCTGCCCTTGGGTTTTCGTCCAAGATGCATTATCTTACTTATCCACATTAAATGTCAGTTGCCACAATTCTGACCATTTTCTAGTTTACCTAAATCATTTGTCATTTGGCTTATCCCTCCTGGAACATCAACCCTGTTACATATCTTAGTATCATCAGCAAAAAGACATACCTTACCATCAAGACCTTCTGCAATATCACTAATAAAAATATTAAAGAGAATGGGTCCAAGTACAGATCCCTGAGGTACCCCACTGGTGACAAGTCCAAGCTTCGAATATATTCCATTAACTACAACCCTCTGTTGCCTGTCACTCAGCCACTGCCTTACCCATTCAACAATATTTGAATCCAAACTTAAAGATTGCAGTTTATTGATAAGCCTTCTATGTGCAACAGTGTCAAAAGCCTTACTGAAATCTAGGTAAGCAATGTCTACTGCACCACCCTGATCTATAATTTTAGTTACCCAATCAAAAAAATCAATAAGATTAGTTTGGCATGATCTCCCTGAAGTAAACCCATGTTGTCTCTGATCTTGAAATCCATGTGTTTTTAGATGTTCATCAATCCTATCCTTTAACATGGTTTCCATCACTTTCCCCACTACTGAAGTAAGGCTTACTGGCCTATAGTTGCCCGACTCCTCCCTATTACCTTTCTTGTAAATGGGCATAACATTCGCTAACTTCCAATCTTCTGGGACTACTCCTGTTAACAATGATTGGTTAAATAAATCTGTTAATGGTTTTGCTAGTACACCACTAAGCTCTTTTAATAGCTTTGGGTGTATTCCATCAGGTCCCATTGACTTATTTGTCTTTTACTTTTGACAGTTGAAATAGAACCTCTTCCTCTGTAAACTCACGTGTAATAAATGACTCATTTATCCTTTTTCTTAACTGGGGTCCCTTTCCTTCATTTTCATCTGTAAATACAGAACAAAAATATTCATTGAGGCAGTCGGCCGACCTTTATCCTCTTCTACATACCTTCCTTCTTTTGTTTTAATCTACTATTCCTTGTTTTACTTTCTTTCTCTCATATTACATCTAAAAAATGTTTTATCCCCCTTTTTTACTGACTGTGCTATTTTCTCTTCTGTGTGTGATTTGGAAGCTCTTATAACTTGCTTAGCCTATTTCTGCCTAATTTTATAGATCATTTTGTCTTCCTTACTATTGTTTTTTTTTATAATTCCTAAATGCTAACTTTTTGTTTCTAACTATTTTGGCCACATCTGTGGAGTACCACAGTGGTTTCTTGAATTTTTTGCTTTTACTGACAAGCCTAATGCAATTTTCTGTTGCCTTCAGCAGTGCAACTTTTAAATAATCCCATTTCTCTTGGACTCCACTTAAATTGCTCCAATTTGATAACGACTCCTTTACACATATTCTAATTTTTAGAAAAGTCTGTTTTTCTAAAGTCTAAAACTTTGTTTTATTGTGGTGTGACTCAGTCTTGCTGTTCTATATTAAACCACCATGATATCGTCAAATCAATTCCCTTCATTGTCGTACGCTTTATTTTCTCAACTAAGTAGGTTATCTAACTCTTCAATTTGTCCTGGGGGCCTATAAATCCCACACTTACGGTTACTGTGTGATTGCCAAATTCTAACGTAACCCAAACGGACTCTATGTTTGTCTCACTAACTTTTATTAGGCTAGATTTTATGCTATCCTTCACATATAGGGCCACCCCTCCCCCTTTCTTGCCTTCCCTATCTTTTCTATATAAAGAGTACCCTGGTATTGCTATGTCCCAGTCATTTTTCTCATTATACCATGTCTCAGTAATAGCGACTAAATCTACACTATCAGTTGCCATTATTGCCACAAGTTCATGGATCTTTTTCCCTAAACTGTGAGCATTTGTAGACATGACTCTAAGCTTATCATTTTTTAACACACTTGCTACAGGCACCTTCTGTCCTTGTTTTGGGGGACAATTGGATTGATGTTTTATCACCCTTTGCCCCCCCCTCCTAGTTTAAATACATCCTAGCAAAACCTCTGAACTGCTCACTGAGAACATTTGTTTCCCTTTTGAAGGTCACAAACCATCTTTTTTTTGTGCAGCTTATCTCCCATTCCAAACAGGCTACCATGAAATAAGCCAAATCCCTTGCTCCGACACCATTCCTGTACAAATTAAAGTCCCTAATACGCATCCGCCTGTCATTCTGAGTGTTATGCACAGGCAGAACTTCAGAGAATGACAGTGTGGAAGCAACTTGCCATATATCATTGGCAAAAACACTAAAAACTTCCTTAACCTCTGAAACCTCATTGCAAGCCAAGTCATTTGTCCCTGGATGGACAAGTACATCAAATTCCCCTTCCTGCTTTGCTTGCTTAACAATATTACAGATACGTCTCCTGTCTCTGTGAGCAGTAGCTCCGGGAAGACACCTCTGCTAAGACCACCATTGTCCATCACCACACCTCTTATAATGGAATCACCCAACAGCAACTGCTTTCTGGTAAGGGCCTCACCACTTGGTCTCTGAAGCGGTCTCCTATACTAATTCTACAGTGCTCTCACGGCTTACCACATAGCCTCGGTGCCTCTCTCCACAGCACCACTAGCCTCCGGTGCCTCTCTCCCACAAACACCACTAGCCTCGGTGCCTCTCTCCCACAACACCACTGGCCTCAGTGCCTCTCTCCTGCTTAATTTACACTCTAGAAGAGGGGTGCAGAAAATGAATTATGAAGAGCAACAGACTGTGCAAATGCCTTTTATCCACAACTCTAAGTCTACCAGATCCTACAGTAATCCATCTGCTATTCCTAGTATGTCTCTGCGGCAGTGGCTTTGCAGCAGTTCCAGTCTGAGTTTTTCACCAGATAATTTACAAATCTCAGACTTCAAAAATACAATCTCCTGCCAAGATAGAGAACTGTCTACAGATTAGACAACAACCAAACCTCCAAAAAGTGGAACGTGAAACAAATGCATAGCAATTGTTACACTGAACTAAGTCTGCCATTCCAATTAGGAGAATTTAAATCAACAAATCTCAACTTTTATTTATCCTCCTGAATACCTCAGATTACCTCCAGGTTATCTCCAGAATATCTCCAACTACACATGAAACAACACTCTCCAGAATATCTCCAACTACACACTTGAAGCAACACTCTCCAGAATATCTCCAACTACACACTTAGAAACACACTTAGAAACAGCACTCTCCAGAATATCTCCAACTACACACTTAGAAACAGCACTCTCCAGAATATCTCCAACTAGACACTTAGAAACAGCACTTGGAAGTAGCACCAAGCTATATTAGACAAGCTAATGAACCAAGCCTTATATAACTCCTTAAATCACCGCCCACTAGGAATGTTTAACACCTGGGTAGGCCTCTGCTTATTTGCAAACAATAGCTAATTAACCAGCAATCAACAGCAAGTAACTAGCTTAATCAAATCAAATGCCTTATAATTACCAACAGGAATTCAAACCTTGGGCAATCAGTAACCTTTTCCTACAGATGAATCTTACCTGTAACAGTAGAAAAGAAAGCTCTTAGCACAACTCTTAGACAGTTGAAGCTTCTGTAAAACTCTCCAGAATATCTCCAACTACACACTTAGAAACAGCACTTGGAAGTAGCACCAAGCTATATTAGACAAGCTAATGAAACCAAGCCTTATATAACTCCTAAAATCACCGCCCACTAGGAATGTTTAACACCTGGGTAGGCCTCTGCTTATTTGCAAACAATATTTGCAAACAATTTGCCTTTCATCTAAGGCAAAGAAAAGGTTTTTTTACAGTAAGAACAATAAGGATATGGAATTCTCTGCCTGAAGAGGTGGTTTTGTCAGAGTCCATACAGATGTTTAAACTGAAATTGGATAAATACTTACAAAAACATAACATACAGGGATATAATTTCTAATTAGTGGGGTAATAGCTGATTGATCCAAGGAGACATCTGACTGCTATTTTGGGGTCAAGAAGGAATTTTTTCCTAGTTTGTGGCAAAATTGGAAGTGCTTCAGACCAGGTTTTTTGCCTTCTTTTGGATCAACAGCAACAACATTTCTGAGGAAGGCTGAACTTGATGGACGCAAGTCTCTTTTCAGCTATGAAACTATGTAACTATGTAACCAGCAATCAACAGCAAGTAACTAGCTTAATCAAATCAAATGCCTTATAATTACCAACAGGAATTCAAACCTTGTGCAATCAGTAACCTTTTCCTACAGATGAATCTTACCTGTAACAGTAGAAAAGAAAGCTCTTAGCACAACTCTTAGACAGTTGAAGCTTCTGTAAAACTCTCCAGAATATCTCCAACTACACACTTAGAAACAGCACTTGGAAGTAGCACCAAGCTATATTAGACAAGCTAATGAAACCAAGCCTTATATAACTCCTTAAATCACCGCCCACTAGGAATGTTTAACACCTGGGTAGGCCTCTGCTTATTTGCAAACAATAGCTAATTAACCAGCAATCAACAGCAAGTAACTAGCTTAATCAAATCAAATGCCTTATAATTACCAACAGGAATTCAAACCTTGGCAATCAGTAACCTTTTCCTACAGATGAATCTTACCTGTAACAGTAGAAAAGAAAGCTCTTAGCACAACTCTTAGACAGTTGAAGCTTCTGTAAAACTCTCCAGAATATCTCCAACTACACACTTAGAAACAGCACTTGGAAGTAGCACCAAGCTATATATGTACACATACACCTATTCAAATATACATACATGTATATATTCAATTTATACATACATACACATAAATACATGAACACATACATACATGCACATGAACTCATATACACAAATATAAATGCACAGTCACATATATAAGCATACATGCATAAGAGTTTGGAAAAGAATAGGTCTACACACAGTACTTTGTATATTGATAGAATAAATATATTGGAATGGATTTTAAAATGTTGATACATATGACAAAACAGAAAGATAATGCTGGGAGAGTGTTCCTGTAAAGTGTTGGTAGTGGGACAGGAAACCCAAATCAATATGTAGTCCTCTATTCTTGCTGTTAAACAATTTGATAATTCTGGCTTCAAATGTTTTTCTTTCTTTGGTATTTTTTTAAACTCCCTTTCAGTACTTTGATTTTTAGGTCCTTCAGTGAGTGGCCAGGCTGGGTAAAGTGGTGTCCCACAGGAGTGCAGTACGATCCTTCTTTCTGGTGTTTAATGGAGTGTGTCCATATTCATTCTGCCATTTAATGGCTAGGAGGTGTCCCCAATGTAGCATCCTATGTGGCATTTGCTGCATTGAATCATGTCACATTGCTGGATGTGCAGGAGCATGATCCTCTAATGCTGTAGGTTTTATTGTTGTGTGTGGCTGTGTTGTCTGTGCATATGTGCTGACACAGTTTGCAGCGATAATTTTTGCATGACTGGTCCCGTTTTCTTTATTCTTCCCATCAGTGGGTAGCTTCCTGTTGATTAATTTTTGTTGGAGGTTTGGTGGTTGTCTGAAGGCCAAAATGGGTGTTTCAGGGAAAATGTTTTTTAGGGTCTCATCTTCTGTTAACATTGGTTGTAGGTCTTTGATTTTCCGTATTTCCTCAAGAGCTGGGTTGTAGGCGACCACTCGTGTTTATATATTTTTTTTCTCTCTGTACTGTAGCAGGCGCGTGCTTGGAGTTTTTACAGCAGAGTTGATTTGTTTGGTAATAGTCTTTGGTTTGTAGCCTTTCTGTCTCATAGATTGGGAGAGTACATTTAGATGGGAATTACGGTCATTAGGATCAGAGCATATGCGATGGTACCTAGTGGCTTGGCTGTAGATGATGCCCTGTTTAGTATGAGAGGGGTGGAAGCTGGAGCTGTGAAAGTAACTGCACCTGTCTGTGGGTTTTCTGTAAACCGAGGTGTGGATTGTGCAATTGTTACATGTCACAGTAGTGTCCAGAAAATTCACAGAGCTAGTGGAATATTCAATTTTTAGTTTGATTGATGGATGGAATGAGTTAAAAGAGTCAGTTTTTCTTCGCTTTCAGTCCAAATTATGAAGATATCATCGATATAGCGATAATAATTGTATGGTTTGGAGTGCTGTATTTCTATGAATCTCTGTTCAAGATTTGCCATAAACAGATTAGCATATTGGGGTGCCATCTTAGTGCCCATAGCAGTGCCCTTGGTTTGTAGGTGAAACTCACTGTTAAAACTGAAATATTTATGTTTGAGGATGAATAGTGCCAGTTCTGTGATAATTCGGGGGCTGTGTTTTTGGTTGTCGGCATAAGAGAGGAAATGGAAGCAAGCATTGATGCCATCTGTATGTATATATACTCCACCTTTTGTGTATTTGACTTGTTGATATTGGTGTGTGGTTAAGGGGATTCCACCTAGGTGTCTGGAGCACTTGGACTGATACAATTACACACGGTGTGTTATTGTTATATCGTCATTATCAATGAGCTGAAAACTTTGTGTGAGAGTATAGAATATTTAGTTTTATGTTGTCTTTAGGTTGACCTTAGTTTTTGCTCTTTCAGGTTTTGAGTCAAATTCTGAATATGAATTTGCGTGTGTTCATGAACTGTCAATCCAAGCTGTCAGATATGCCTTTGAAGAGGTAAGAGCGACATCAAAATTAAAAAATTAAAACACGTGTTTTTTTAAACATGCTTAGCAAGAACAGACATTTCATTTAACAAATACTGAAATCATCTGCAAGTATCACACTTGATCTTGAACATTTCTTAAATGTATACTCTAATATCTCATGGTTTTGCGCAGTCATAAGTTTTTTGCTTTATGTTTTTTAAAAGTAAATTAATTTGATTTATTTTAAAATTGAAACTGCCTGTCTGGCTTTCCTGGCACAATCATTTCATATAATGTAAATTAATATAATTTCCATGGTGCTTTACATTTGGGCAGTTTGAGAAGAATGCCCAAGCTCAAATGCATTTTTCTCAGCAGCTTACATGAATGTGCCTTGGAGTATTCTAGGACATCAAACCGATTATATCTGCCATTTACCATACTTTGGGACAAAATGTATATAAATAGATAATACCGGTAATTTTTTTTTCTATCAATATATCTCTGTAACTAAATACATTTTCACTTATAGGTTTCTTAACAAGTGTTTTTTGTTTTTTTTGGTGATAAATTAGCTTTTACAGATATGTTTTGGAGCCAGAGATTTTGTTTACTCCAGAAAAGAAATTGGCACCTGGTCCACTTGCTGTATTCTTAGATATGCCCCAGTCACCTCTATTCACTCTGAACCTCAACACACCAGACAGTTGGATGGTGGAATCGGTGCGCTCACCATACGACTTGGATAATATCTACTTGGCCGAGGTAATACTACATCCCATAGTTAAAAATAAAAAATACAAAGTCTACTAGAGAGGAGGTATGATGGAATTTAGGGAAGGTTTTATATAAAACTGATTTATGGAAATTAATGAGAGGTGACAACTGGAACTGTAATGGGAGTGTTATACTGCCAAACGACACGTAATGTATAAATATGGAGTGACTTGGTAGAACTAATTATGTTTTAATAAATGAGAGTTATCTGTTATGGTTTCTAGTGTTTTGCACCAAGTAAGGGCATTCTCGTAGGTTTCTTGTTATGTGTATGTGTTCTAACATGGATTCGACCTGATTGTAATTCCTGGTATCTGACATGACATTTAAGTCTGCATGTTATTTCTAAATTCATCATCAAAGTTTGTAAGAAACTTGGGTCCATATGTTAATATTACCCATCGTACTGGTATGCTTTGTATCAACCTTGGAATTATGAAAGTTGATGTTGCCATGAATCAAACCTGTTACTCTAAATAGTGAAGGCCTCCTACCAAGCCATCTCACTGGCATGCATAATATCCTCTGTGTACAGAGCCAACTGTAATTTTACAATTTAGTAATTTGTGATCTCCTTGGTGATAGGTGGACAGTGTTGTAACAGGTGAATTTGAGTTGGAGTACCTGCTCTTAGAAGGCCATTGTTTTGATGTCTCAACCGGTCAACCTCCCCGAGGGCTTCAGTTCACTTTGGGGACACCCACCAATCCTGTGGTCGTGGATACAATTGTTATGGCGAACTTGGTAAGTGAATTGTTGAATGATCCAAATTGTTATTAAAGGATACTTGTATTCTTTGTTAGAAGGAACACTATAGAGTTAGGAATACAGACATGCATTCCTAATGCCATAATGAGCTACTAATTATTTTCATGACCGGAACCATACGGGACTAGTCTCTACGTGGCCAACCCTCCACCCCTGGCTGAGTTTACCTTAGCCAATCCAATACTTTCCCAAAGGGAAGCTAGTACGCACACGCCTGTGGTAAAGCACCACACTACGACAGTCAGCATCTCCTCGTAGACATGTATTCATTCTATGCATTTCTATGGGGATCATTTAAATCTCATACAGACGCTGGAGATGCTGAATGGTGGTCAAACAGTCTTTGCAAGAACGAAACCAGGAAGTTCCTCTAGTGCAGGGGTAGGCAACCTTTTAGCAGCACTGTGCCGAAATATGATTGTGATGTCCTGTAGCGTGTCAGTCCTATTTCTTTAAATTTTGGTGTGCATGTTGCCATATTCTGCTTGTGTTATACCGCAGTAGCTTTGTATCGTTGTATTTGTGCGTATATGAGCTATTATATTGTATATGTTCATTAATAGTTTGTGGTATCATGTATAATACCTATGAATTTGGGCTGTGTATGGGGGCTGCTTGTGGATAGATATGCCACATTGTGTATTTGGTAGTGTGTGTATGTGTGGGGCTGATTGGGGTATCGCATGTGAGAGGCTGCATGTGGGGTTGTGTCTATGTATGTGGATTGTTGGTGGTGTTGTGTTTGTGCGGACTGTTTGTGTGTGAGCTGTTTGTAATATTTGTATGAGGGGAGAGTTATTCTGCAGCTCTGTGTATATCTAGTTGTGTGGGAGGCTTCCCTGGGTTTTACTGGGGACCAGGCTGGCCAGGTACAGCTCAAGGACAGAAGCTGCAACAGGAAGCTGTGGGCTGCTCTACTCCAGTGTGGATTCCCATTCACAAGTGCTGGGAGGAAGTGATCAAAGATCACTTCCTCTACATGCTGCTATGCTTAAATGGAGGATTGTCCTTCACCACCTTTTTTGTATTAGCAGATATATGAAGTTTCACTGGGACTCCTGACCGGCCCTGAGCCTGTTTGGCTCTTGTAGCCTTGGGTGCCGTGCAAAGGCACCTCGAGTGCCATGCATAGCACTAGTGCCGTAGGTTGCCTACCCCTGCTCTAGTGGCTGTCCGAGTGACCTAGGCAGAAGTGGCAACAATGCCTTTGTCAGTAATCTTGCAGGGACAGGCTAAATGCTTCAGAACCACTTCATTAAAGGGACACTATAGTCACCAAAACAACTTTGGCTTAATGAAACAGTTTTGGTGTATAGATCTTATCCCTGCAGTTTATGCAACCCTAGTCACACCTCCCTGCATGTGACTTGCACAGTTTTCCTAAACATTTCCTGTAAAGAGTCATCTAATGTTTATAATTCTTTTATTTCAAATTTTGTTCAATTTAAGTTTTATTTTCCACTGCGCTGTTAATAGCTTGCTAGACCTTGCAGGAGCCTTCTGTATTTAAATTAAGTTCAACTGATAGTTCAGGAGATACAAACTTTTAAAGTAAGTTACATGTGGTTGAAAGTAAACCATTTTTTTCAATGCAAGCTATGTCAGTCACAGTCATGGGAGGTGTGGCTAGGGCTGCATACACAGAAACCAAAAATTATTTAACTCCTAAATGGCAGTGAATTGACCAGTTAAACTTCAGAGGCATGATAGCGCATCTTTTCTTCTTCTACAAATCCTGACAGTGCTTTCACACAAAAGCACACATTTTGCTTAATCCATAAACCAGTCATCAGTAAAATATATGTGATGATAATAAAAAAATAGTTTAAGCATTTACTGAAAGAGATTGAGCTTGAATAACCTGGTTGGACCAACCCTGTAATTATTAACAAAAACGTTTGAAAGAAACCACTTAAAATGGTTCAGCATTCATTTGTTGGTAATTATGCAATGTTTCGTCCAAGAGTTGGTCTTTTTCCAGCCTAGAATATCTGTTAAAGGAACACTTTAGGATCAGGAATACAAACATGTATTCCTGACCCTATAGTGTTAAAACCACCATTTACGTGGCTTGCCCTCTATAGCACCCTTGGAAAGGGTTAAAGCTTACCTTTTTTGTGGGTGGGGCCAAATAGCATCTTCTTATTGAGATGCATTGAATCAATGTATCTCTGTGAGGAAAGTTCAGCGTCTCCATGCAGAGCTTGGAAACACTGTACAGCACTGCCCCAGGAAGCATCTCCACTGGCCATCTGAGAACTGTCCACTGGGGGTGTCCCTAGGCTTTCATGTAAACACTCTGAAAATAGTGTTTGCATGAAAATGTCTGCAAGGACTGTCTATACTCACCAGAACAACTACAATGAGCTGTAGTTCGGGTGACTATAGTGTCACTTTAATAAAAGTAGTAATAATCATACTAGGAGCATTATATCGACTTTTACGTCAGTACCTGACAGTTGTAATTAAATACTGTTAATTAGGACAATAATTATGTTTATAACGGGTGTTTTCGGTATTATTGTTTTAAGGGTTACTTCCAATTGAAAGCCTATCCTGGTGCATGGGTCCTTCGCCTCAGGAAAGGCCGATCAGAAGAGATTTACAATATATACAGGTAAGTGATTGTGACCTAGCGTTATCCATTATAAATATTATACCGCCCAGGGAGCGTTTATATTAACATGGTTTGCTAAATCATAAACACAAAGAAGCTGTATCGAACTTTCCCTCTTCTCTCTTCTAATAAACTGAAAATGATTATTAAATGTACATGTCTAACTCTGCTGTTCTACAAACATTTTCATATGAATTTACAGAAGATGGTAACAATTATATTAATCTTCCATGCAATATGTAATCCTAAAATTCTGACAACAAAGAAGATAGAATAATCCTTATTCCCATTAAATCCTTATAATTCTTATTTCCTTTAACCCCCCGTCCCCGTCTGTCAGTTGGACAACTGGTCCTGATACTTCCTAGTTGTTTAGCTCAGTGTACCTAAACTCAAGAGGCTTAATGCACTTTGTCACTGTGCCTAGACAAAGCTTGATGCTTGTGGTCATCATGCAGAGATATGCCTTTATAATCATGTGCTCAGGTTCCACAAATATTTTCCATCTATTCCATAATAATAAAATACTACCTCTGTGCTTTGATTGCAGCCACGAAGGAACAGATTCTACTCCGGACGCCTCCGAGGTGGTAGTTGTTCTACATGATTTCCGTAGCAAAATTATTAAACTCAAAGTAAGTCAAATTTGAGCAGAATTTCTACAACACTTCTTCCTGTCATAGCAATGGTTTACTGAATGACATGGCTGTCCTAGGAAACATGGGTCAGTTCACATACATTGGAAGCACATTGTGCTTTCTTTTTGTGGTTCATTTAAGTACAAATCACTGTGTGAGCACATTTATTGCACCCTTCACTGATGCATGTTAGTTAGAATATATAAATAATCTGTTAATATTTGCTGTTAGAGGTATTTGATGATTGCCTGATATTGACTAAATGTGCCTGAAATATTTGATCACTAATAGGGCACTCTGCTCAGTGACCGATAAAATAAGGACATTAACTGTTATCCTGTTCTTGAGCAATAAGTCTCCTTTTGATTTGGCAGGTACCTCTATGTCTAACAAACATGATACATTTGATAATTTTGCTAAAATGTTTGCCTTTGCACTTGGTATGTGTATATATGTCTTAATGGGTTTAACCCCTTAAGGACCAAACTTCTGGAATAAAAGGGAATCATGACATGTCTAACATGTCATGTGTTCTTAAGGGGTTAATATAAGTGTGAAAGATTTGTAACCTTTTACACAGCACAGATAGTGCGAGATACAGAAAGGCGAGGATTGTAGTTCTATAAAGTGATCTAATAAAATGCCCACTTTTTGGGCTATTTGGTACAGCTGGTACCTATAGCAACATTTAATACCCATAACTTTAAAAGAAGGTGAGTTTGCCAAATGTATTGCCAGATAAAACTTTAATCATGTCATCATAACCACTAGTCTGGCTCAGTTTCTAGGTAATGGGGCCTTACCTGGGTTACTGCTGGCTTTGATGCTCCCTGGTGGTTCGGTGATACAGAGCCGTAGAAACCGTATTCCGTGGCCGTCAATATTCAATACAACTGCCGTCACATTCTATGTTTCTAATATAAAAAGTAGAGGGACGAAACTTATGTCAAGTTGTACCCATGATGGTGGAGGGTGAATGCTCCTGATCTCAGGATTGACATATCTCTAAGAGTCACTTTTATAGAATGGGAGATCCAATGTTTCACTATGTTTCATAGTGATAGGCTGCAGTTACAGACTCCAGGCTCTATGACCACTTCACATCACTGAAGTGGTCATTGTGCTTGGAGCAACCCTTTCATAAAGATCTAATTGAAATGTAAATGCAATCGAATAAAATACGTGACATTGGACTCCGAGTCAGTATTTTCGGGTGGAAATAAATGCAAATGATTGCGAACTATGGGAAATGTAGTCTACCTGGCAAAAGTGCTAATTTTAACACATACAGGGTTATTTACTAAAGTGAGAATTACCAGTAGTCTAAAGGGAATTTGATGGCCATAACAGTTGCAGAGTAAGAACAGGTTTTCAGCTGCAGGATTAATACAGAGGGCTTACTGCAGCGGTTTCATTTCATTGCAGTGTAGTGGTCTGTGTGCCTATAGTGTCCCTTTAATTTAAACATTTCTCCAAGTCAGTTCTATTATCAGGTTGGCTATTTTGGCCTGTTATATGAAATTTTGTTTGAATTTCTGGCAATTCTCACTTTAGCAATTAGTGCTTCTTGAGTACCTGTTAATTGTATCATCATTACAACCATGTGCTGCTTCATGAAGCACAATGTGTTTCGATGCCTCAGGGCACTTTGAGAGTTCTGTTTTCTTAAATGGCTTATTATGTGTCTCTGCAGGTCCAGAAAAAGCCTGATAAATTGGAGGAAGATCTACTGAGTGACGGTACCAGTGAGAATGAATCTGGCTTCTGGGAATCAATCTCATGGTAAATGTTTTATTACCTTTCAGAGTTAAAGTATGTCTTTTTTTTTCGCTTTTATTTATTAAATTTTCAATAGACATGCAAATATAACTAGAAAAGCTACAATTTCTGGGGAAATTGTGTGAAGTGTTCTTGCCTCCACCAGTAGTCTACAACTGGAGTGGGCAAAGTAATTGTTATCATTTATATAGCACATTTAATTGCAACTTTTTTGCACAGTTACATTAAACCATACATTTATTAAAACATTAGCAGGTGTTCAAAAAGCCCTGTCTATGACATCACTTGCTGCTGCAGCCTGGCACAGGTCAGAGTATTTTGGCGGTTGCCATCTTCAAACGGTCTTATTTTAAAAACTATAAATCCTACAGCGAAGAGCTTTATATTGTGAGACTCACAAGACACAGACCTACATTGTGATGCATAGTATTTCTCTGAAGTATTAAAAATGAAGGCACAGTCGCAGTTTAGAAATTGCACTTCAAATTTGAGCTTTGTAGAGTGAAGTTTCAATGAATGTCAATGGACGGCGTTAGTTGCAAACAAATGATTATATTGTGAAAACTATCAGGACTATGGCTTAGCCGTTGACATGTTTAGTGGCAGCAGGGATAGCTGAGCGTTTTGATATAAGATTTGTGTAGGTGGGCCTGAAAATAAGGGAGTGGTGGCAGTTTAGAAATCATGTCCTGATTTTTCAGCTTTTGCCAGCTCCCACTCTAGCTTTGCCATTCATTCCTATGGGACAAATTTCGCCACAAGAACGACGATATTCCGTGAACCATTCGGCGAAACGTTCCACAAATTAATAGCAATCCGATCGGGAACAATCTGCACGTTTTGGTAAATTTTTGTCTATGTAGTGTAAAAACTGTGGGAGGAAAAGGGTGGCAAATTTGACTATAATAAGAATAATAATATATATGTGAGATAACAATAAGTGGTCTTGCTATGCAAGAACACTTAATAATATATATGTGAGATAACAATAAGTGGTCTTGCTATGCAAGAACACTTAATAAGAAACAAAATAACAAAAGACAAATATGACATCCATGCAACAACAAGCCATTGCTCGCATACGCCCATATCTAACAGGGGATGGTCTATGCCACTATCATCTGACTATTGCAATCCACTTCTCGGTGGTCTTACGCATTCCCAGCTTCATAATGAATGCGGCGGCGAGGCTCTTCTTCTTGTCTGCCCGTACCTCCCATGCCTCCCCTCTCCTCTTTCAGTCCTTATACTCGCTTCCTGTAAGATATAGGGCTTAATTTTAAATCCTGGTTGTTGCTTACAAATCTCTGCACTACGCTGCTCCAACCCTGCTATCCTCACTGATTCAAAAGTATGTCCCGTCTAGGCCCCTACGCTCTGCCAATGATCTGCGTCTATTCGATGTTCCTACTCCCACGTCTAACGCGCCTCCAAAACTTTTCTAGTGCAGCACAATCCCTGTGGAACTCCCTTCCCTGCTCTGTTAGACTCTCACCCAGTCTCAGTTCCTCCAGAAGACCATTAAAAACCCACTTCTTTAGGAAAGCATTTCAATTAAACTGTTATTCCTTTCCGGCACATTGGTAACCCAAAAAGATATGGAAGGGCTGCGCCAAATAAGGGTAGATAGTCCAGTAAAGTATTGCTAGGGTGCCAATAGATGGTCTAGGATACTTGATAGAGTTCCTCTGTGGATGCGTCTAGTGTAGACCTGTTCCGTATATGTAAATACAAGAGAGGTAGAGGCGACTAATGGTATAGTATGAAAGTTCAGGGTGTGATAGGTAACAAAAAGTAGAGAACTCACATTCAAGAGAGCTATGGCCAGCTCTGGTGTGGATTGCGTACAGCGGTATAATCCCCGCTTATGGGATATGTAGGGAGGGGGTCTCCGTCAACACCGTCTGGTAGTCCAGAACTCGGAAAAGAAAGACAGAAAGCAACAATAGTGCTCTCAATTTTGATGTGGTTCAATGTGCAGATAAGAAGAGGTAAAAAACTCACATTTGAGGGAGCTATGGCCAGCTCTGGTGTGGATAGCGTACAGCGGTATAATCCCCGCTTATAGGATATGTAGCGGCGATACGTCCGTCAGCACCGTCTGGTGATCCAAGGCTCCAATATAGAAGAATAAAAAGCAGCAATAGTGCTCTCAATTGTGATAGGTTAAGAGAGTAGTAGAGAAAATAAAATAATACTCACAAAGATAGAGCAGAGGTACTGCTCTATGGATAGGCGCCGGTGGTATGATCCCCACCTAGGATTTCTTGGAGTACTGGAACTTTAAAATTGCCAATGGAAGTAAAAGTAACCAGGAAAGGTTAAAATGCCAGGAATAGGTAAAAAAAAAGTTGTTTAAAGTGCATAAAGAGTGCAATAAAAAGAGGATTGGTACAATAAAGTAGCCAAAAAACTTTTATTGATCTAAAATACACAGTAAAATACAGAATTAATAACCATAAATGCGTTTCACCATAAGTGGCTTCTTCAGAATGGGATAAAAGTAGTAACCTGGCAGGGGTTGTTTAAATAGGGCTATGTTAATTTGAAAATTGCGCCAAAAGTGTAATTGGCCAATCAGAGACAATTTTTAAAATCACTTTTCAAAATTAGGATTCAAGAGTATGGGAGTGATGTTATAAAGGTGATGAGTCCATTTAAATTATTTAAATGTGAAAACGAGGGTGAGAAAGTTGTTTTTTAAAGAGAGAAAAAAATAAAATAAAAAAAGTTGTTTGATTAAAGTAAAAAAAAACAAAACACATAAGTAGATGGTTTAAAGGTACAGAGATACAGAGATATATGTAAATGGAGTATGCATGAAAAGGGGGTAATATAATCCCAAACATAATGATTTAAATAGGGGTTATATTATACCCCAGAGTAATAATATATTACAAATGTTAAATGAAAATAATAGATAAAATAAAAATAAAAATAAAATTAAATAAAAGATAACACAGAATACAAGATACATAAATGGAAAGGCATAGATGAAAAATTAAAACTTAAAAGATTATTATTATGAGGGTTGGTTAGGTCCAGACATAAAGAATAAAAGCATGTAGATAAGGGTTGTATATAGGAATTTAAATAAAATTAAACAGGTCAAAATCAACATTTAAACCAGATGGGGTAAGAGTTTTTAGATTAAAACCCCACTCCATCTCAGCTTTACCTAATATGTTCTTGATGTTACCACCTCTCCATGGTATTATACATTTTTTTATGCCGATGCATTTAAGGTGTCTTATGTCGTTATTATGTGTACAAAAGTGTTTGGAGACTGAGTGATTCAGGTAGCCTTTTTTGATATTTCTACAGTGTTCACTCAGTCTCACTTTAAGACTTCTTGTGGTCATCCCTATATACTGGAGACCACAAGGGCACTCCAACAAGTAGATGACATTTTTGGTATCGCAACTGATAAAATCTTTACTTTTATAGGTTTTGTTGGTGATATTTGATTTAAAACTGGTGGTTTTGGAAGGGACGGAGGGGTCTGTATTTTGCATACAATGCATCTTTTACATTTATAAAAGCCACTGGCATTGGGCATAAAAGAATTAAAAGTAGGTTTGGTTTCTTTTGTAAAATTGGTGGTTAAAATGGATTTGAAGTTTGGGGCACCTCTAAAGACAACATTAGGCTCGTCAGGTATAATATTTTTAAGTATTTCGTCTTCTTTTAAGAGGTGCCAATGTTTTTTGATAATTTTTTTGACATGGCCACTTTTGTTATTAAAATTGAAAATAACAGGAAGGGGCATGGTGTTGGTGGTGGGTTGGGTATTGTAAGTTAGGAGGTCTGCTCTATCTTTTTTGGTGATGGTATTTATAGTGGTGTTGAGGCGGGTTGGGGAGTAATTTTTCTCAATAAATTTTTGTTTTAGATAATTTGATTGTGTGTTAAAATCTTCTATTTGGGAGCAATTCCTTCTGAGACGAAGGAATTGGCTTTGAGGGGCACTTTTCCAACCAAGGTTTGTAATGGCAGCTAGATCTTTCGATAGCTGTGTTGACGCAGACTTTTTAAAAAATTGTTGGTAACCCACCCTGCGTCCTCTCCTCTAGCTTTGTTATCCAATAAACTAACCATTCACTGTAAACTTTTCCAGTAACCTTTTTTACATACATGGAATACATCCTTCCCTTACCTCTTGTGCCACTTTACCCCACTCCCTCTTGAATGTCTGCTTGTTTGAGCAGTGCCCTCAACACCCTCTGTTCCTGTGCGTCCAGCTCGTCTTGTTGCAATAACATGTTCACTAGTCCACCTATTGTACAGCGCTATGGAATTTGTTGGTGCTTTATAAATAATAATGTAAAAATGTATCAGATCATATCTTCCCCTAAAAAAATTCTAATTCCCTACTTATTAAAAAAATTTTAAAAACATTTTAAAAATACAAATACACGTACATAAACATAGAACTAAATCAGCCATCGAGAGTTCCCCAAACATTGAATCAGTATACCCAATATTATCAACTTTGATCCTTTACTCCCTTTGCATTGTAATATTTAGTATCTTTTATCATACTTAACTATCTATCCCACATACATAAATCCTTGGTAAGGCCGGTCATTTTGTTAATGCCTCTTTTCATTATAAGTTGAAATTGTATTTGAGAGCTAAGGTCAGATACTGTAAAATCTTTTCCTATTTTCCAATTTCTCACTATCAGTATCTTGGCAGCAATCAAGCAATGAATAACTACCATAAGCTCTTTTTTTCTTATTTTAAGCCATTGAAGATGTAACAGCATAACTTCTTGTTTTTTTTTAGGTACCTTTACTTTATATAATGTTTTGTACCCAGAGCCATAAAGGGGGCCACACTTTTACAAAACCACAAAATGTGTAAACAACTTCCTCTCTTGGTACCACATCTCCAACAATGCTCAGCATTACTAGGGGAGAATTTTGATAGTTTAGATTATTATTATTATTATTATTATTATTATGATTATGATATTTATATAGCGCCATCAAATTCCGCAGCGCTTTACAATGGGTGGACGAACAGACATGTAGTTGGACACACAGGAACAGAGGGGTTGAGGGCCCTGCTCAACGAGCTTACATGCTAGAGGGAGTGGGGTGAAATGACACAAAAGGTACGGGAAGATGGAACCATATACCATTTAAAATCAATTTATAATGAGTTTCAACCAGAGAGAAACCGTGGACCTATTTATTGTCTTTACCGAAAGAGGAAAATCATTCGTCCTCCTTAATCGTTACTTTTAAATTGTTTTCCCTTTTCTTAATTACTGAGGGGACAGTTTTTGGCTTTCTCAAAAAAAAAAAAATAGATTTATCTTATTGCCATAAAAATATCCTTCATAGTTATGAATTTCTTATTCCTTTTGGTAAATCTTTTTTTATTATGAATGCTTTAGAACGTTCTACTTGCAATTAGTTTATATGGCCACTGGGTGTCACTCCATAAGTCAAACATCTGAAGATTAAAGGGATATAAATACAGCACCTGGGATTAGTTTAGACTGGTTAGTATGCAGATGATATTGTAAGAGGTGTTTGTATATAAAATTGCTGTGCCGGTGATATTTAATCCTGATTTCTATGGTACTTGGAGGGTGAAACAAACTTGATATTCTACCTTGCTTTTCTCCTTACAGGGGGCTTACTGGAGGACAGAAAGCGGAAGAGGTAAAACAAGATAAAGAGGATGTGCTTAATATATTTTCCTTGGCTTCGGGACACCTTTATGAGCGATTTCTTAGGTGAGACACACTAGTGAAACATGTGCCTAATATCTGGAGATACCTGTCAGACCACCATAGTGACATTTCTATACTTGGCATAATACATCCTCTGATTCTTAGGATCCAGATACTGTAGGGTCCCAGGCCATGTTTGATCAATGTGACTTGAAAATCCATGACCTCTGCTCTTGTTAAATAACAACATTTGCCCTCAGATATAATTACCTAGGAAGTTACATAGAGGTGATGTGAACATGTTTTCTTCAATCACAGTCTAGTAACATTTTATTGCTGGGACAGCCTGTCCACTGGTTCTTTTATAGTATTAGATTTATTCGATTTTCACAAAGCACCAGCGAGTTAATTACTATATCAGTCATTTTCAGTGATCTGTCTCTGCTCAAAATGAATTAGCCAGGCTGTCACTTATACAGTGTATCTGTGCTCATTGTTTCACAATGGGCATGTCAATGCACAAATGAATCCATGTAAATATTGATACTCTGTTATGATGACTTACAATCTAGCATTGCATCCAATACCAGCATGTGAATTGACGTCTGTTTTCCTCTATGACATTCACTGTTTTTCATCCCATACGATCGCTATCTATATTTGTGATTCTAAACTCAGAATTTGTAATTCTGTTCCCTATGTTACACTGAGCAGATGTTTAAAGCTTTCCCCTGATCTTATTTTAACAGAATAATGATGTTAACTGTTTTGAAAAATACACAGACACCAGTGAAGTTCTGGTTTTTGAAGAATTATTTGTCTCCTACTTTTAAGGTTTGTGTCACAATTGTATGAATATTTCACATTTCTGCAAAGCTGCCATGAATGTACTTGACTTGCCTTTTGTAACATTTTAACTATTTAACTGTATGGTAGAGATATATTTGGACTATTGGGAAGTATTTAAGTTTGTTATTCTTAATTATTTACCTACATCAAGGTGGCAGACTTTCTTTATTGTCAGTTAGACAGCTTGGAGGGTGCTTTTCCTTATGTCCTTAAGCAGACCTCTACCGCTTCAGCTGGAAGGCTATTCCATGCGTCCACTACCCTCTCAGTAAAAGAAAATTGTTGATATTATTTTTAAACTTTTGCCCCTCTAATTTAAGACACTGTCCTGTTGTTTTGGTAGTTTTTCTTATTTTAAATATACAACCGCAGAAGGATAATGAAATGCTTCATTAGAAAATATTAATACTGCATCAGTCTGCTTTTCTAATCAATGTTCTTTTCTATTTTTCCCCAGAACTTTATCCCTTACATGGCCAAGAAGTATAATTTCCAGTATGAGCTAGTTCAATATAAATGGCCTCGCTGGCTTCACCAACAAACAGAGAAACAGAGGATAATTTGGGGATACAAAATCCTCTTCTTGGATGTACTTTTCCCTCTAGCTGTGGATAAAATAATTTTTGTTGATGCAGACCAGGTAAGTGAACTAATTAGTCTGGTATACTTACTGTCAGGTGATTTGTTTGGGTGCCTTTTTTTATGTTAACAGTAATATTATGATTGTCAACATGTAACGGGTTATTTTATAACCTAAACACTGTGTCAGACTTGCTAGAAATGCTCTATTTTGCTATTGATAGCAAATCATTGTCGTCCCTGATCTGTCTGTTTCAGGATGTGTTACTGTGTTTAGCAAGTTTTGATCACTATATTTTCAGATCAATGAATAAAATGCTGCATTTTAGAACTTTGATTGAAGAACATTGTTTGTTTATATCGCATACACTGCATTTGTTGGATCTGGCACCTGCAAGAAAATCAAGGTGACCTGGTGTATGGTGCTTTTTCAGATATATTGTTGCTTTTTTGGTAGATAGAGTAAGTCTTACAGGTGTGTGCTTAACTCCTTAATTGTTCACAGTCTGAACCAAAACAAAACCTTGAATTTGAGCTTCAGGGTAATATGTATGTATACCTAACACAACATTACATGTGAATAGAATGGGAAAAATCGATCTGTTCATATTTTTGATTATTTGCTAAAGTAAGAATTTCAAAAGTTAATATCGAATGGAAGGTCAAAATAGCCGAACTGGAAGAATTCTCCAAGTCAGAGGGGTTCCCAGATCAGCTATTTTGGCCTTAAATTTGAAATTAATTTTGAATTCACTTAATTCCACCCCTCAATCACACATATCATATTTTATCCGCCTGTCTGTGAAACTACTTGCCAGGTATGTGACCACTAGTCCGTTATGCTTTTAGTTTGGCTACGCTGGCCTTGTGAAATTTACTGTGAATTCTCTGTTCGTGTTATTTTAGCCACACACGTTGCCAGAAACCCCAAAGAATAGTTAGAATCAGATTTATATCCTGTCTACAGGCTGTGTGGTTCAAATGAAGATTACAGGGGTGGTTATTAATCTTAATTTGCTGAAATTAGATAAATTAAGTAAACAAAATGAACTGTTGACTTTCGCACTAAACAATGAAATATTGCCATAAGTTCACGCCATAATTATTTTCCATTGCAGCACAGGAGTCCCTAGGAGTTCATACTGCTTACTAAATTGTTTAGGGTTCAACAGAGATTTTAGGAAATAGATATTGTTGAGTTCCACATTAACAGTCATTAACCCATCATTCTCATTTGACAGATTGTGCGAACAGATCTCAAGGAGTTGCGGGATTTTAATTTGGATGGTGCGCCTTACGGTTATACCCCATTTTGTGACAGTAGAAGGGAGATGGATGGTTACCGCTTCTGGAGATCTGGATACTGGGCCAGTCACTTGGCAGGAAGGAAATACCATATCAGGTAGACAGCCAGCTTTCACTTCAATGAATAGACATTTAAATCGTAAAATAATAATAGTAATTTGTACACATAGCTGGATCTCTGATTCTGTTTTTACTACTGTGACAAAGAGCTAATTGTATTCCCTGAGGTTCTTTAAGTATCCTTACAACTCCTCCTTCAGTACCACCCATCTTGTTTCAAGGAAAAAAATAAGCACAAACGGAAACCATGTTTTAAATGCACTTAATAGAGGGCGCATTAAAATTTTTTATAAATTAATTCTTCATCATACTATGTGCACTAATTGCCTAATCTGCTAGGGAATGAGAGAGAGAGTGTCTGTCTCTGTCTCATTTGGATGAAATCAGAAAACCCCTCCTATGCGGAGTCAGAGCTGAGCGACAGGCTTATAGCTGCAGCAATTTTTCCGAATGTGATACAGGATAATCTCTCTACCATAATCTTTGCAATTAAAGTTGATATAATAATGATTAGTGTCCCTCTAGTGTATATGTAAAAATACCATTAATACGGGTTGTTTTTTTGTTGTTGTTTTTTTCCCCTTTTTCTTTTAGTGCCTTGTATGTTGTTGATTTAAAGAAGTTCAGGAAAATCGCTGCTGGGGACAGACTTCGAGGACAGTACCAGGGGCTGAGCCAGGATCCTAACAGCCTTTCCAATCTCGACCAGGTTTGTGTTCTGATTAATCATCCTGCACTATCAGCAGCTTTGTTGTGGACATCGTAACCTGCAAAATAAATTTAATATGATCCAATCACCGCTGTAATCATTTACGCGGGACATTATGGTAAAGCTGCCTATTAGAACATCTGATGTGAAAATTATGCTGTATGCTTTTGTATTTTTGCCAATATATGTAAGAAAAATACATCTTACAGTAGGAGGGAGACTACTTGTTTATTTAAAGAGATGTGAGCCAGGTTTGATCCTACCTAAGGCATGTTTTACATTTAAAGGGACACTCATGAGTTTAAAAAAGCCTTGCCTAATTAAACATTAATATAGCCGATTAATATTTAAATACCAAAACATAGAAAAACATATTTTGTCTTCACTGTGTATAATAAGGTATTCTCGGTTTTATTGTCTGATCACATGACTGGAGTCTACTTTCTTTTTAATAAACGGACTGCTTGATCTTATTGTGTGGATTTCTTCTGAGATGGATTTACAGCAATGTCTGTCGGTCTCTTAGAACCTTGTACACTTTTATAAAGGATTAGGCTCATATATATATATAGTTTTACATAATGCCCAGTGGAAACCTAAATCTTGCATAAGCTCCCATTGACCCAATCCACCTTCTAAAGATCCTTGCATGTTACCTGTCACTGTGTGGTTTAGTTTTTTTAACAGGTATTTTTGTCGGTTTAAATAGGACCTACCAAACAACATGATCCACCAGGTGCCCATTAAATCACTCCCACAGGAATGGCTCTGGTGTGAGACGTGGTGTGATGAAGCAACGAAGAAGAGAGCCAAAACCATTGACTTGGTAATTCTTTGATTCTCTGTACTAATGCTATGTAAATAGAGCAATATGGCATTTTAAACCTCTGCTTTTTAAAAAGAGCATAAATTAAAGATTTCCTAGCAAACGTATAGATCGGGAGAAGAATCTATTAAAAGAAACCTTTCTCCCACCTGTCAGTCAATTCTTCAACATCTGACTCTGTTCAACAGAATTGACTGGCAGAGCAGAGGAGACAGGTGCATCATTTCTTAATCTTATGAGTTAAAATGTTCTGTTTAAAAATAAAATTCTTGGCATGTGTGCTCACATTTGTTTTCCACATGCTAGGAAATTTAGTGAGCACATTTTCTCCCAGTAGACTGTTTGGTGACAAAAAGCAATAGTTTACTGTGTTTCTGACTAAGAAAAATTAGGCTATATTCTAAAACAATTCTATCCCAAAACATAAAATCCCTAGAGAACATTTTATTTGTGGGAAAAAAGGAAAAAGTACCTTTTTGAACATTGTTTACAGTATGCAATATTAGGTATTAACTGACCGACCAGGAAACAGCAATTATGCATTTATCCACAATCCTCATATTTTGGTTGAATAATTTTAGCTAGATTTACATATTTGGGCCTGAAATAGTTTTTTTTTTTTTTTTAAGATTGCATATAGGGATCCTGATTTTATAACTCTCAGCATACACTTAAAATGGTTGAATTCATGTTCATTACTTCTTATTCTTCTAAATTGTAAGTTTTTTTTTTTTTATCATATTGCTCTTTAGTTTAAAGGTCACTTTAACCTTACCAGCATGCACTTAGTGTTTTAGAAATACATTTTAATAAAAGACTTGACATGTAAGGGTTCTTCTTACAAATAAAGCACCGTTCCATGTCTTACCACTCATCACTGATTGTGCTCTTTATCTTGAAGTGTAACAACCCAATGACCAAAGAACCTAAACTAGAGGCTGCTGTACGCATTGTCCCTGAATGGCAGGATTATGATCAAGAAATCAAAAAATTGTACAGCCAATTCCAGGGGTCGACTACAGATATTCCAGTTGATGGATCTGACAGCTGGGCACAGCAAGACACACAAGGTAAAGATCATATTCTCTTCTATGTGTAATATTGTAACACCGTTACATACGGACCTAGTGCCATGTACATATACAGCTATGGAAACAATTAGGAACCATTTCCCCCCCCCCCCCTTTTTTCCCCCTTAAATCAGCATCTTGACATGTATGGCAGACATTTAATTCCATCGTCTGTTGAATTGCTACACAGGCACACCTCATTCTAAACAAACAATGAGAAACTTTAAGAGTTGGTTACTGATACTCTCCTTGGTTTCTAGCCAGTTAGACTCTTTGTATCTCTTTAAATCTCCTTAATCCGTAAGAAAGGAATAGCATATAGGGCACTTCACTGGCATTTAATGCCATAATGATGGCTCAAGTAAACTATCCTGCTGTGTGTCTCCTGTCACTCCATTCAGAGACAGATACGCTGGCAATGAAGCCAGTGTCAGCACTGTAGAAGAGACAGAATGTATGTGTCAAAAAGTAGGATTAAATTAAGGTGTCCCAAAGCAATAAGATTATATAATAATAATCTGTGAAGGAGACGGAAAAAAGTTAGTAAAAATTTAAGTAGTGTATTAATTAGGTATATATATATGTTTAATTTAGGTAGTGTATTATTATTATTATTATGCTATTGTTCAGCAAATGTATATCCTTTTGATCTGATTATTTGAGCCTTTTATAGACTGTTACATCACTGGTGCCTTTCCTACCTCTCACCTTGTTATATTATTATATTTTTTTTGTATAGTTTGTGTTGACAATCACATTCTTTGAACAAACAGTGTGTACTAATAATAAAGCTTTGCAAAGAGAAGGGTTATTTTTTTTTCTTGCTTTGTTTGTCATATATATAATTTATTTTTATTTTATTTTTGCAGATCCCAAATCACATTTGGAATTATGATCTTCGAAGTCTTTGGGAAACTGGACTATTTTTTATTTTTTATTTTAAATAAGAAATCATTGTTTTGGAAATTACCTGTTTTTCCCAATTTTCCGGGATGTCTGAAAAACTGCTGAATGGTGTGGGTAAAAGGGGTATTTATACTTTTGATGTGTGATTGAGGATTTTTAGCAATTATCATCCTTCAGGTGCTGTGAAACAAAGGCCATATGTGTTGTATAATGCACAGTGTCCAGTTTTTCTGTGTGTACATACAGTGGGCAAACAACTGTATTATGAGATGGGTCTGTGTTCTCACATTGAAATATGAAACCAAAACAGCATTTGCTCAAGAATATCCTCTACCTGCTTGTTTTTGCAGATAGTGCTGGTGTTTATCAGAACTGACATATATTTATCAGATTCTGAATCCATAACAGGCCTGTAATTTGTAGCATTGGTCTGCACAAAGTTTTGACTGACCCCTTCTACATCTGGTTTTAACCTGGGTTTTGGCCCACATTTATATCACCATAGTATTTTAGTGAGTCCCAATGATTGGAACAAACATAATGTAGATTTCCATTTGCACATAAATAGTTTACTGTAGTAGTATGACTATCTCCAGGATATTTTTAGTTTAAAGCGATACTATAGACACCAAAACAACTTTAACTTAGTAAATCCGTTTTCATGTATAGATCATGGCCTTGTAGTCTGCTCATTTTTCTGCCATTTAGGAGTTATATCACTTTGTTTATACAGCCCTAGTCACACCTCCCTGCATGTGACATGCTCAGCCTTCCTAAACACTTCCTTTATTGAACAGTTTGTTTAAACTAGAATGTCTTATACCCTACTTTAATAGCTTTCTAGAGCCTGTAGCGGCCTCCTGTGTGTGAGTAAATTTTAATTTACAGAGCCGGAGATAAAAACGTCTAAAGCAAGTTAACATCGGATTGAAAATTTAACCATTTTTTTATGCAGACTGTGTGAGTCATGGCCAGGGGAGGTGTGGGTAGAGCTGCATAAACTGAAGCAAAAGTGATTTAACTTCAGGTGCATGATCTATACACCCAAACTGCTTCATTAAGCAAACGTTGTCTTGATACCTATTGTATCTGCCACATTAAAAGACCACTGTAGTGCCCTGAGGGTGCCCCCACCCTCAGGGACCCCCTCCCGCCGGGCTCTCGGGAGAGGAAGGGGTTAAACACTCACCTTTCTCCGCGCCGGACGGGGAACTCTCCTCCTCCTCTCCGCCTCTTCTCCTCCTCTTCGGCTGAATGCGCATGCGCGGCAGGAGCTGCGCACGCATTCAGCCAGTCTCATTTTATTCTGGACGCTTGCGTCTTCTCACTGTGATTTTCACAGTGAAAAGCACGCAAACGCCTCTAGCGGCTGTCAATGAGACAGCCACTAGAGGCTTTCAATGAGACAGCCACTAGAGGCTTTAGAGGCCGGATTAACCTGTTTATAAACATAGCAGTTTCTCTGAAACTGCTATGTTTATAAAAAAATGGGTTAACCCTAGCTGGACCAGACACCCAGACCACTTCATTAAGCTGAAGTGGTCTGGGTGCCTAGAGTGGTCCTTTAAATCCATGCACATAATTTGGGATGTCAAAAAAAAAAAAAAAGTTAAGAACCTCTGTCTTATACGCAAGAGCAAAGTAATGAATATGCCTAACTGTATTCACACAACATGTTTACTTAAATCTGCATACTCCAGAAATACCTTCAAAAATAATTCTATACTATAAGAATCCTTATGTGCCTTTTCATATACTTGAACTGTTTGTCATCTGTTTGTGTTTTTTCTTTTTTGAAATAATGGTTCTGCAGCCGGTCCCAGCCATTTCAAGCCATTTGAACCAACAACACTGTTTAAAATAGATCCATCGTTCACAAATATGTGGCTTTTTCAGACATTTAAGTGCAGTCTAAACCCTATGCTAGGGCCATGCTAAGGTATAGATTTAATTTTATTCTTAATAAAGGTTTGCTTCCATGAAATGCACAGGCAATACACAGTTCTGACATATTAATCCCAGAATGCTCTGTTCACATCTTACTGGCATGGCAGTAACTTACACCTTTACACAGACATGTGTAGCACTCAAGTCTGTTATGCATGACTGGTTCACCAACCATGGTATTCCTATGGTCCAGGTTTTGTCAGTATTCCCACTTGGAAATTGGAAACTGTTGGCGTTGAGGATGGGATTGGAAACTAGTGGCTTAGAGCGGAGGTTCTTATCTTTTTTGACAGAGCCCAAATGACATGCATAGCATTAACTTTGTGTCCTATATTTTAAGTTTACAATCTTTTCAGTGAACAATTCATATGTTTTATAAAGTACAAATACATATAACAGTACAAAATAATACATTTCTAGAAAACACCTGACTTAGACTTTTTCCAGTGTCCAAGTGGACCTCGCTGTATTGGAAGAGGCAATCCTGCTGCAGTAATCCTTTTAGTACGGGCCGCGTCTACCTCCAGGGACTCAATTCTATGGATATTGACTCACGGAAACTTTACAGATCATGTCAGTAAAATACAATTTTCAGAAATTGGCAGAATAAAATACATTGTAATTTTATCTTTTCTCCTTTTCATGTTTTATCATCTGTGAATAACTAGCCTGATAATGATATCAGTGTTATTTACATGAAAAAAAAAATAAGGTTTTATGTTTGTTTCCCATAAATAGTCCAATATTTGCATATTAATATACTTGGACCAGCTAAGTTTGCCAATTACAAGTGTGTAATAAAAAACACACTAATTGTTTCACAGTTTAGTGTATCTAGGAGCCATCATGGAATCTAATTAAAGCAATATTCCATTTTTTTATATCATGTTTACTCGACTTGCGGTCATGCAATGTAATATTTCTATTTTTGCTGGATTTGATTGATTACTATAGATATTATGTAATTTTAATGAACAGCAGCAATGTTACGACAAATACTCTCGTTATTGAGCATTAGTTTTATTTATTTTTGTTTTTCTAGACACGCTGGGACTGGCTATAGATGTGGTATTTCTGCTAAGCCTATGGTCATTTAAATCACAGCACTTGAAACCGTATCAATGAGATTACTTGATGTTTACTAGGATTACAAGCCGAACATCTCTACATCCTTCTCTTCCTCCATTTACAATGCCATGTGCTGGTGTGGGGAGTAGACTTTATCCTTCAGTAACTTTAAACAGTATATACATTATTACAGTGGACCATTTTTTTTTTTTTTTTCATTTTTGCTAGTTTACCTTGCATATGTACGGAGCTGAAAATGTCCACTCGTCACTAGCCAATGGCAAGTTAAAATTTAGCCCTGTCGAAGAAAATATGCAGTGGACCCTTAAGGTTTGGCAAGTAACTTTTCAAGCCTGAATAGTAGCATAGGACTTGGAATTTTACACTTTGTGTGTTTGTAAACACACTCACATGTATGCTGGTAGAGGAGCAGGGGAAAAAATGTTAAACGGTCATGCTTTCGGAGTAGAGGTTTCAACTACAGCTATAGCAACGTGATTGTCTACTGCTGGCTCGGCTCCTCTTCCAGCATACCAATAAAGGGAGTTGACTGGATTAATGATGGAAGCTGCAAATGGTTGCTGTGACCCAGGAATGTAACTCCAGTCTGTCTTGAGCAGGTTTTGCACAGGTATATCCTAAAAACTAGGGGTCCTGCTTTGCACAATGTCAGTCATTCCCTGAACTGGGGATTAATGCACAAGGTAATATCAGACCTGTTTTGTTTATTTTTAATGTGACATAAGGAAGCTTTGACTGTTAGTTTTATTTTTATACGACTTTTTGGGTTATTTACTAGATTGGAATTTGTATAGGATTGACTAATTTGAGGCTAAAAAAGTTAGCTGACAAATTCTAGAATCTTTTATTTCTTGTCTAGTGCACCTATTTTGGTTTACAATTTTCAGTTTAATTTTTTATTCTCCACAGTTACCTGTTTGTATATAATCCCAGAGTGTGTTCTGTGAACTGTTCTGACAATGGTATACCCACATTGATTATTAATAAATGTCTGGAGTATAATCTAATGCCAATGAAGGCAGTTACACGTCATTAGTACTTGTAATTCACTCAGACTCATAATAACTTTGAGACGGAATGTCACTGATTTCCTGTGGACACTTTTCATTCCTTTCCTTTTATTAAAAAGGCTAATCTTACGGAGTCTAATGAAATCATTAGAACATCTGCCGACACTTTCAGAGATATTTAAAACTGCTATTACTCACCTGGCTTTTTTAGCTAGTATTATTCAGTCTGCTGCATGTTGGCCGTAGAGGTAGCTTCCCAACTGTTATCCAGGTATAATTCCCTTGATACTTTGCCAGACCTAATGCTGACGAGCATCATGGGAGTGGTATTTTTAAGCAGCAGGGAATCTACCTTTCCTATGGACAACGTATAAGCATTGCGACTTGCAGCTATGCTACATGTATACACTATAAATACATTTTTGTGTTTGTTGTTTTTTTTTAAAGAAGAATGTTATTTCTGCAATATCTCCGGTACTGAGTAAAGATCAACTGTATCTTTGCCAATATATGACATTTTGAAAAGTGTACCCTGTCACAGCTTGTGTGGTGAGAGAATTGTACTCATATTCTCCTTGTTAAGGATAAATGACTGTGTGTGTGTGGGGGGGTGCTATTTACTATGCTAAGATGCCCTTATTCTGCTTTATCAGTAGAATGGACCTGGTTAAAATCATTGCTATCATTTCTATGTGAAAACAATGAGAGCATTTTTCTAGATAAACATATGATATTACTTCTGATCAGCTTGCATGGTTCAGATTGATACATGCAAGTTCCGGGGCTGCCATTCTTTTTTTAAACTTTCGTAAAGAGGAGGAAAAAAAAAAAGAATAGTTTACTGAAACTGCTTCTGGTGCTCCTCCTGAGGCTTTTTTCTAAGTGTACTGTACCGGTAATCAAATTCTGTTCATATAATCCCTCATTACTGGAGAGATGGCAGTAAAGCAAACAGGCATCCGTGATCTGAAATATATACTCTATGTAAATAACAATCACATCCCTTTTTTAAAAAATATGTTCTTGCCAAAACAATCTCAGATTTTCCACAGATTGTCAGGACCTTCTTTGTAATTGACATGGGCCGTGGCTAGCTGCTGAGCCTTTACTGCATTATTAGTGTTCAGGGGGCATTGAGTGCGATCCACCGCTCAACCTGGGGTGTATGGAGAACAGGAATTTTACAGATAGCTCAATATGTAGTTTTCACAGCCATCCCCAGACGTTTCATAGATCTTAAATAAAAAGGGTGCGGGGATGAAGTAGTTTTGGTTTGTATTTTTTTATGGGGCTCGGGGATTTGCTTACAATGTGTAATTATGACAGTTGTTTTCTGTATTTTGAAGGAACTGTCCCAAATATATTTTAAGGGTTTTCTGTGTCTGTGTAGCAGGTTGGAAGTAATTTGCCAAGTAAAAGTTTTTTTTTTTTTTGGTTTTTTTTTTTTACAAAGTGTTCCGTGTCATAAGGCAGCAGGTAATCACTGCAGACTATATAAGGGAATCTTCGCATCGTCCGTAGAATCAGAGTATGCTGAGCTCTCAGTAATGGTATAATCGCACACACCTGCAGTGCAATGCAAGCCTTACAGTGCTAATGAATGCTGCTGGCAAGAATACCAAGGATCTTTGGCAGTATCCAGCAGGTCCTCGATTATCCAAGGTTTTGCTGACACAGCTGATGGGGTGTAATATAACCCAAACGTGCTTTATTAGTATAGCTGCTCTCGGTCACAAAGGCACTGGGTATAGGAGCTGTATAATATGATTTTTAAACATGCTTTTCTACAGTGTACCATCCATCTCAGTATGCAGTACACCATACTGGGTGTGAATTGTCAAAGTAAGTAATTTTCTGATTGCAGGCCAAAATAGGTGAATCGGCAAAGTCCGCACTGTATCCATTCAGCTCTCTTGGTCTTGTGTGAAAAATTCACTGTTTCCAACAATTCACACATTGGTTATTCAACCAAGCAATAACAGAAATTAGCTAAATATGTGAAGCTCTAGAAAATGTAGACCCAAATATTTGTTTTCTTTGCATATTTACACTATTAGGCTGTTTGAGGGGGATAGGTGGCCATTGCAGACTTTTTGTTTTAAATGCATTTGATGTAATAGATTCAGCTGTCAGCCAGTGATCTCAGCTAGTATATAATTATGTATTTTAAAAACTGCCTTAACATAAGCCTAGTTTATTTTCTGACACACTGATTTTAAGCCAAACAGTGATTCTACAATCAGGCTGTTGGCACCAATGGAATACATGTTGGATCTGATTGTGTGGCTCCTATACCAATTTTTTATTTTTTATAATATAGGCTGTATGGGAGTACAATGTCCATTCACCCGTTTGGTCTCATAGAATATTTTTTTTTTTTTTTTTTATACAAATTATATCTTCCTATTCATGTCCCTCATATCTGTATTTTGATACTTGGCAGTGCTTGTAGTGTGACCGCATTAGCGGCTCCCTTTGGTGAATCTCAACCTTTATCTGCTTTATTGATGTGCTAATAATTTGTAGCTATGTATAAGGTTCTGCATGTTTAGATGATCAGAGTTTAGCATAATGCCATCTTAATGGATATTTATGTAAATTTGCACTAATTAGTTTGGTCTTGGGATGAGGTTAAAAATAGATCCGACAAATTCCTCTTTTAATTTCTTGCTTGAATGGATTTGTATCCCAGGTCAGTGTTAACATTTTCTGTTAGTCAGAATATCCTGTATGGACCCGTCTATTTTACTCTCTATATCCAGAGCTTTGATGCACCTAAGAGCTATTTTGTTTGGTGTTAAGACCACTAGAGATTCATAATTGGACTATATTTGTCAAAATATCTACATTTAATCCCTTAATGACTGTAAATTTAGCATTTTGGTTATTTTTCTTCCAACTCTTATGATCAATTTTGGACTAAGTCTTAAATTGACTATGGTCAGTAGCCTATAAGTAAAGATTACATGTGTGTCAATGCTTTTTTTTGTTTTGTTTGTGTGATTTTTTTTTTGTTATTATTTCGATTGCGCAGTATATTAAATTAAGTAAACCTGGACTGTGTTAAAAAAACAAAAAAAACACAAGAAATGTAATTTACCAATACTGTATCAGTATAACTTTTTACAGAGTTGTATTAAAGGGAAACTGCCACAAGTAGGGTTCTACCCTTTCGTCACTGTAGCTCTTATTAAGACTAAATCCCCAGGTGGATTTGGCCACTCAACTGCTAACCAGTATGTGATTTTTTTTTTTTTTTTTAAATTTGTTAAGATCATTGCAGCAAATCTTCCCCATTGTAAATATCTAATCTCAACAATTATTGTGCAAGATTTCTGATGCAAAGTACAGATTCAGATTATTGATTAGTGATAATGTCAATATAATCTGTTCCATCTCTGCTAATGTAAAGATAGCCTAACCAACTGGTCATTTTAGTGTTTGAGAGCTTAAGAATTTAAAAAAATAAATACATTTTTATTTGGGCAGTGGAATGTCCCTTTAACAACTATAGGATTTGTAAATCAACATTAAATTGCTTGTGAATCATGTGGCTTTTTATACAAATCAACTTCTTGCCTGTAACATAACTATCTTAACTAGCTCAAAAGTTGGTACGATAATTTGAATAAAAGGCCTTGCTGTGCTTCAAGAAACGACAGGCTACAAATAATGATATTTTCGTAATTATTTTTAATTGCAACCTACAGCTTTAAGTTCATTTTTAGTCTACCAAATTTGTTAAAAAAAATAGATCTAAGCCTTGGACAGAGATTTGCTGAAGACCATTATCAGTAATTGTTCTATTTCCTGTGTAATATCAAGACTTGACATTCTGTATCCCAGAGATCATTAATGCTATAAAAAGTCCCCTTGCCTTACCTTGCCTTGCACAACTGGATGTATGTATTCCTATTTGCTTAAAGAGATTTTGGGATTTTCCCTGCATCGTCCACAGCAACTGATATTTTCTTTTCATCCATACCTTCCTTAGAATGTGTGGAACGTTATGGCTGCAAATGGAAGGGACAGATACTGGGTTATACATGGCATAGTTCTTTGCATTATGTATAATAGCTTTATAATGATTTGTGTGAATTTTGTACTGCTTGGAATCAATAGTTCTTAATTTGATTAAAAAGATGAAATATGTTTTTCACTTTTTGTGTAGTGTTTTTATTGCTTTTGCAAATGAACTCTTCTACATTGTTGAATGCATGTGACTACTCTTTATGTATAACCCTTTACATTTTCTTAAACCAGCAAACACTTTTAAACAAATATACAAACCAACATGAAGCAAGAAAAAGTTTGAATAATATGTAATAAACGTTTATAAACTTACATGCGCTACAATGCAGTCTGACCAAGTATCTAAAATTGGGAAGTTTATTCAGTCCACTTCCCCTTTTACCCAGCGATCTCAGTTTCAGATCAGTTCACTAATGACAGGAACAGGGCATCATTGTGTAGCAGCAGGAGAGAGAAACCCAACACCAGATCCTGCTTTGCATGTTCACAGCTGATCAGACTCCTCTTCTCCAAAGAAAAAAAAGTTACCTGCGCTCTTCCCGAATCCCTATGTATATTTAAACAAATGGAGGTTATTAAGTTACTCCAATGGCCATGAGAGGGAATGCCCACCTGCCACGTCAAGGCAAATCTCTCAGGTGGGTCCTACACTGACTATTCACCTTGCTTCCTTGAGCTTCTGGCAAATATCGCTAATGAGACAGAGAGGGGTATTTTTATATATATATATATATATATATATATAAACCCCTACATGCTTATTAACCCTAATAGGGAACACATGGGGTTGCAATGTCTCTTCCTCCCCCTGTCAGGATATGGCAAGGTGAAGAGATCTTCCAGCTGCACATGTGTAAATCTTTTAGGCATGCCCAGTGTACATTTCCAGCATTCCTAGGGATAGGACACTGATTGTTAGACCAATGTCCCTCTTAAGTGGGTGTGGAAAGAATAGGAGAGAAGAGCACGTAAATAAAAAAAAAAAAAATCTATTTACCTGCTTTTTTTCAGCCTGCAAATTTAGGTAACTGTTTCATTTAAAGCTAAAGTTTTTGAATGAGACAGTTGTCTCAGTGATGCATGTCCATTTAAGGACCAGTGATCTGACTCTTATAGTTCTTCTGTAAAGCTCATTTGTCGCTACATGAGTAGGACAAAATGTTGTATTTGTGGGCTATATATAAACATTCCCATTTGTGTTCATATTCTTATACAAAAAACGACAACCCTTTACACTCTCGTCCCATACACACTTTTTCATAGCGGGCCAAAATAATCAAATTTCTATCCACTTTTTATTTTTCTTTCACATTATTGGAGAGAGAATATTATTACTGGAGATGTTGGAGAGAGAAGAGCAATGGAGGCAATGATCTACAATCAAACACCCATTTGAGATTTTTTTTTTTAATTCTTTATTTTTGTAGTACAGATAAAGGCATACAAGCTTTGAGTGACATTTTGTGAGACAATAGACAATAATGCAAGTCAGAACGATGAGACATAAAATATTAAGAGGTACTGCACTGTTCTTGGTAAAAGTAGAACAAACGAAATCCATGCATATATTTTGTGAGAATATAGACAGTAATGCAAGTCTTAAGGATGAAACACTATATATCAAGAAATACTGTGCTTTCTTTGGTACAGTGGAACAAACTAAATCTCTGCATAGGTGCATGTGTAATAAACTACGTAGAACAACATCCAACTCAGCAAATAGGACTTAAAAAAAAAATTACAAATCGTGGAGCTAAAACAAATCACAGTGGAGGCAGCGGAAAGAGTGGAGGAGTCATAACCCTGGATCATTCTACACCCCTCTGGGGCAGATCACAGTTCAACTTCGGTGTGGCAGCTACCGGGTACATTTGCCCAAATGAAGGTCGAGGGAGCGCCAGACTGGGGTGTTAGTGTGCTGAGCAATAGCTCTGCTGATTCTCCCGTTGACTCATTCTCTCGAAGGCACAGGACAAAGGCCTGTATGTCTCTGCTGTTGTGTGTTCCTTGGGCCTGGAGCTATCTTCCTTTGTTGGGAGAGTGGCAGAAGCCTTTGGAATAGATGGGGAATATAGAACAATCGGGTAACATCGGAACATGCACTTCTCAACTCTTCTACAGAAGTCTGCAAAAAGCAAGTCAAACCTTTATAAGATATCCGCTCCAAGCAGGTCCACGGAATTCTCCAGTTTAGGTGACACTCCAGGCAGTCATGTATGCAGTGTGTATGCTGTGAGTCCACAGGTAATTATGGCTGTGATTGCTAGTAGGATTACCCCCACTAGCAAGGGGGAGGTCTGTTAAATTTTGCTCTGTCCCAAGGAACGCAGAGCGGAAAGATCAGCCGCCTCTCTTACATCTCTGCTCTTGGGTAGGCTGCAACGCACACTTTTGCCTGTGTCACCAAGCTTGCTCCAGGCAAAAATCACATTGGTAAGGCCAGGCAAGTTTCTGAAGGTCACTTAGAGACAGTTCGCCAAGACTTTGGGAGTATTTAGCTTGAAGAAGGTGATTGTTCTGAGCTGATGTATGGAGCCCATGCAAGGTGCGTCCTTCCAAGATGATGATCTAGCCCTACCCCCCAACAAAATCTTTTTATTGGATATTTGCACCACTGTCTCCTGGAGGACAAGTGAAGAATAGTGAGCACCTCCAACTGGCGTCTTAAATTATCTGTTTATCTATTGAAAATCCACTTACTTAGGTGGGTGCAGAAATTAAACCAGTGCACATTGTTAGTAGAGATTGCAGGTTTCCCTCTATAACCTATGGTTTAAAGTCAATGACATTTATTCACTTAACAGTAAATTATGGTAAAACCTGATCAACAATGCAGCAATCTTTAAGCCAAATAAGGCAAGTGGAAAAATTACCAAATTGGAAACTCGTTCACTTACTGCTATTTTTGACCTACAGTTTGCCTTCAGTTTGTATCACATTGAAAGCTGTGATCTGTAGCTACATGTTAGATTATGCCTTAATATTCCATATATAGGTTTATACTGATAGCGCATCAGTGAAACACTTTAATCTTTCTAAGGATGCAATTGTAGGGGAAAAAAATCACTTAGAACCACACAGATTTCAATCGTAGCAATCTGGGCTCTTCGTTTAAAATTCATCAGAAAAAAGCATTTCTTGGTAAAGGACTGAAATTGACAAAATTAATAGCATTACATGGCATCCATTGTATTAAAATAATGCTTTTCCCTCTAATTAAAAAAATATCTCATTTATGTTTGGCCGAGATTAGTTCTGGTTTTCTGAAAAGTGCATTAAATGAAAGTCCCATCAATACGCAATATAATAATGTACACGGCGAATATTAATTTATTTTATCAGAAAATCAATGCTTCCATTTCCTGTAAGACTTTTCATACAGCTGAGGGTAGAGACCCATTTAACTTCATTATTGTTTCAAGGTAATTGTAACAAGATACAATATTTGTTTTCATTCTAATGTAATTGCTGGCTAGATGTTTGGATAATGAAATGGTTGACTGTTTCTTGTTTGCGTGCGTTTTTCTTTCTAACATACACAGTAAAGTGTGAAGGACTAACTTTGATAAATGAATTCAGCTTCTAAATTGGGTAAATGTTCTCTTTTTTTATATGGTGCTTGGAGGGGTGACTTTGAATTTCGGATTTAACACAAAGAGGAACATTTCAGTGAAGTGACGGCATTAAAATCTGAACGCAAAAAGAATCAAACTTTAATGTGAAAACAATTTATATTTTCTAAATTCCAATAAAAGTATATTCGTATCGCATTCAATAATTTCAAATAATATATTACAAGGTTATAAACTTGGTCCCATCTGGAACAGAACAGGGACTTTTAAATGATAAAATAAATAGAAACAAAATTATTTCTGTTTTTGGCTTAATTAAACAATGTCTTGGTTATTTCCCAAAAAGGCCTTGTTTATGTATACAAGCTTATTCACTATCAAGGTTTCCACTAAATTCTAAAAAAAAACCAAAAAAAAAACACACACTAAACCAGGGGTACCCAAAAGGTCCCATGATGCTTTGCATGGCTGTAGCATGCCTGTAGCCTGACAAAGCATCATGGAAGCTATAGTTTTAAAACTCCTGGTGATCTACACTTTGAGCATCCCTCCTAAACTGTCTCCAGGTGAACACTGAATTGGAACCCAACAGATTATATCGCAAAGGTTCTAAAAGATGTCAAACTAAAGAATTGATCATTTTTGAAAGACTCACAAGTCATTTTTTTTTTTAAATTCATAAATGTCTGACCCAGAATTTCTAAAATAAATGCCTGCAATGCAGTTGTGGAAATATGACTGAATACTGTAAATCTGGGCTTGATTCAGAATTTTATTGAACATATTTTAGTTATGTAAACAATCTATTAAAAATGTGTGGATTATAAAGGTAAACTATGTCTTCAACACACATATAATTTAAAAATCAGTGCAAGAACAGCTAGATGGATCTTGTCCAGTGAAAATTAATAGAAAGCTATTTTCATGTTAGACATACAGTTGTGCTCAAAAGTTTGCATATCCTGACAGAAATTGTAATTTTGGCATTGATTTTGAAAATATGTCTGAACATGCAAAATAATGTATTTTATTGAAGGATAGTGATCATATGAAGCCATTTATTATCACATAGTTGTTTGGCTCCTTTGTAAATCATAATGATAACAGAAATCACCCAAATGGCCCTGATCAAAAGTTTACATACCCTTAAATGTTTGGCCTTGTTACAGACACACATGTTGACACACACAGGTTAAAATGGCAATTAAAGGTTAATTTCCCACACCTGTGGCTTTTTAAATTGCAATTAGTGTCTGTGTATAAATAGTCAATGAGTTTGTTAGCTCTCAAGTGGATACACTGATCAGGCTAGATACTGAGCCATGGGGAGCAGAAAAGAACTGTTAAAAGACCTGCGTAAAAAGGTAATAGAACTTTATAAAGATGGAAAAGGATATAAAAAGATATCAAAAGCCTTGAAAATGCCAGTCAGTAATGTTCAATCGAAAACTCTGAGATCTCTTGATACCAAGCCAAGGTCAGGTAGACCAAGAACGATTTGAAGAATTGTTTGGGATACTAAGAAAAACCCACAGGAACCTGAAATACAGGCTGC